CACGTTCCCACACACCCATCAGTCGCAACAAATCCCGCTCACGCTCCAAGTCATGTTCCGAGGAACGCGCGAACACACCGCCGCCGCAGCGCACCAGGATTGGTGGAGGAGGAGCGGGTGGTGGTGGAGGTGGTGGCAACAATCGCAAGGCCCGCAATCGTTCGCCTCGGCACGAACGGGAGAGCAACACGCGGGAGAATCGCGCGGAAAGAAACACCAGCAACATCAACAACAACAACAATAATAATAATAACAACAACAATAATAACACCAATAATGTAAACAATTCCAGACGCGTGGAACGCGACAGATCGCCCACGCCGCCCAGTTTCTTGTAAGTGCTTCGCTAATCCCAGCTTCCCAAGCTATTCTTTCACTTCGGACACTCTTCCCTTCCTTGCAGTGGCAGCAGCTTTGCCAAGCCGCAGGAGTTTATTGAGGAGACGAACAAGGGTCACCAGATGCTCATGAAGATGGGCTGGGGCGGCACGGGCACCGGTCTCGGCTCCAAAAGTCAAGGCATCGACACGCCCATTTCGGGCGGTGAGGTGCGCGATCGCAAGGACATGTACAAGGTAATCGCCCGAAGATCTCCCTATTATTGATTTTATAACTGATTCAAATATCAAATAAAAATTGTTAACTCAAATGCAATTAACATTTTCCGTTTCTTGCACTCTTTTTTAGGGCGTGGGCAACAACCTGAACGATCCGTTCGAGAGATTCCGCAAAAACAAGGGTGCCGCCTTCGCGCATCGCATGAGCACAAGAGATTACAAAGCCTAGAGGCGCCAAACACACCCCACCCGCCCCCATCCCACAACTGATGTCGCATTTCTGTTCTTTACCTTCTTCCGCTAGCCAAGAGAATACATTTTTTTTTTATAAAGAAATAACTAAATCTTTTTAATAAATCACGCGACCACATTGAACGCCGTCTGGGCAGCCTTCGCATTAACCTTCTCGAGTACCTGGAGCAGTCCCTTGCCGGGACCACACTCGAAGGTGCGCGGAAAGTCGACGCCCTGTCGCCGCTCGTAGAGCTCGTGCAGCGTTTGCTCCCATTTGACGGGTCGCACAATTTGCTTGGGCAGCTGGCGTAGAATGTGCGTGGCATTTCTGTACGGTTTGCCGTCCACGTTGGAGTAGACGCGTATGATCGGATCCTGCAGGCGTATCGCCTTCAGCGCCTTGCTAAACGGCTCCACAGCGCTATCCATGAGCGGCGTGTGGAAGGCACCGCTGACAGCCAAACGCTTCATGCGGCGTATTTTGAGCGCCTTGGCGTTCTGCTCCAGAAACTCGAGGGCCTGCACGTTGCCCGCGACGACCTTGCAGTGCGGATACATGTAGTTGGCAATGCCGCAATAGGGTGACTCCACGCCCTTGTCCAGGCACCATTGCTGCGCCTTGGCGCATGCGGCGCCCAGATTGGTGTCCGGGCCGTACAGGGTCATGGCCATGGCACCTGGCGTCAGATCGCATGCAGCCTGCATGGCATTGGCGCGCACCTGGACCAGCTGCAGCGCCTTGTCGAAGGGCAGTGCGCCCGCATAGACCAGCGCTGTGATCTCGCCCAGACTGAAGCCGGCGGCGGCCACGCAGCTCTCGATGGCTTTAGGTCGCTCCTCGCGCAGTTGCTCCAGGGCGGCCAGCGATGAGACCAGCACGGCTAGCTGTGCGTATTCGGTGCGATTCAGCTTCTCGCGCGGACCCTCCAGACAGATCTTGAGCAAATCGTATTTGAGCACCTCGTTGGCCAGCTCAAAGATGCGCCGGGCGCCGGGAAAACGCAGCAAGTCCTTGGCCATGCCAACGTACTGTGTGCCCTGGCCGGGAAACAGCATCACGCTTGTCTCCTTGGGATCGATGGCCGGCCGGGTGCTGCTCTCCAGAGGCTCCGCGAGTTCATTGAGCAGCTGCTGTCGCTTGGCTGCGCTCGCATCCAACTGTGTTGCTGTTGCCTCGGGCTTTTGGCTGCTGCTGTTCCAGCGGCACCAGCTCCAGTTGCACGGCAGATTGGTTTTACGCACGAAATACCGTGTTTTTGCGCCGAGCATAGCTTGTGCTTTTCCAATTTATATAAAAAACGCGGCGTGAGAAATGAATGCATAACAGCTGTTTGAGCTTGCCCACAACTAACGCTAGATGGCGCCAGCACTGAGCTGAGCAAGTGGCGCCACGCAGCAGACGTGTCTGTCAGCACGCCTATTGTCCGTTTCTTTTGAAATACTTTCGATTTCAAATGCGTTGAACTTGATTTATGTTGACCAAAAAACTAATATTGGCTATGACTAAGTGAGGTTTCTTTTTGGCCAATTCCATTGATGGACATTGTTGTTGTCTTACTCATCGTTGTCTGGCATTGAATAGACGTTAGTCATGTGCGTTTAATTCGGCGCTTGAAAGGGCATAAAAATGTCGGCTTATGTGAAATGCGAGCAATCATTGGCCAGTTGCAGAGTTTCTTGAACTTGAGCCGAAACGAAAAAAAAAAAGAAGGGAAATGAGCAGACCGGTAAAGGAGGCTGGCAAAGAATAAACGGCAAATTGTATGAATACGCCCGGCAGCAAAGTCAGACGCGGACGTGACGCATACCACTTTCGCCCTTAGTTCAAGGAACACGCCTGCCGCAACAACAGCAACGATCCCAGCAGACATTGGCCCTCCTTTCGGCTCTGTTGCCAAGGACCAGGCTCGTCTAGACACATCAGAGCGCGAGCGCCGATAAAGCTGAAGCTGATGCCGATGATGCTATCTAATAGAACGAGAACCAGTTTCGTTTTTGGCTGCCGAAAAAAAAAAATAATAAACCGACAAGCAGAAGAAAAAAAAAAAAATAAAACCGATCCAGCAGTTCGCCCGGACACATTTGAAGCGGTAGATGAGTAGATGGCTGCGCTGGCCAGGTACAAGAATGAGAGATAGGAGCATAAATAAGATCGTTGACATGGGCAAGTGGCGTGGTCTTTGTTTTTTTCTGCTTCTTTCTTTCTTTTTTTTTTTTTAATTCAGGTTGTGAAATACGTAGCATATGCAAACACACACACACAGACACACGCAAACACACATGTGTGTGTGTTTGTATTTATGAATGAGACTGGGTCCAGGCTGGATCTGGAGCTGTTTTAGACCACAATAACAACTGTAAAGCGAAAAATGATACAAAAAAAAAAAAGTTTTAATCTAATGAAATGCATACTTTAGTAAATGCCAAAGCAACTTTTTATTCACATTCTTGCCGTTCGTTCTGCCTTGAGACATGCGAATTAAACAAGCATATGTCTACATATGCCATATACATATGCATATGCATGTCTATGTGTGTGATTGTGTATTCTTTTCACAGTACGTGCCGCCGTTACCGTTAGATTCGAAATGTTTGCAAATACCACAGGAGCAGAACAACAACAACACGTACTAGCACATGCCATACATAGTTGCCTATGTGTGTATGTTAGCATGTGTGTGTGTGTGTATAAAAAAGTATGCAAAATTTGCAATTGCGTCTTATTAAATGCGCACGCATTGCGCATACGACCCGTTTCCGCATGAGCAGACCAGCCAAAGAAGCCAAGAGACAAAAAAAAACTCGGCCGAAAGTGTACGTTGACCGGCATCATCCAGCAGCCACTGGCCAAAAATATAAAAAAAAACACGCATGCGCAAGTACCAATAAAAGCTTACATGTAAAATTAGAACAGCAAATGCAGCAGAAGCAAATTTTGACGTCGGCCATTAAGAGAAACCGTTAAGCGCTCAATGTCAGTAAAACGTCAATGCTGCTGCTGCTGCTCTGCTCTCCCGCAAACTGAAAAGCAACAGCAAGAAAAAAAACATCTTGTACCGGTGCGTCGAATATTAAATGCTCTTGCAGACACACGACTCAGTAGGTGTTTTATGCAAAAACCGACAACCGATTTTTCATATGGGAAATATTAGATAAATCTATCCAAATAGTCTGTACACTGCCTGCAATAAAAATACAAAGTTTCATTCAGAGATGTTTCATCTAAGCGTTACAAAATTAGTGACAGCATAAAAATGCTCTCAGCAAGAGTATAAAAAAAAGCGAGAGTGCATTTGAGATGAGAGGGAAATTATGCAGTAAGCGCTGCTGTTGGCCTTGCTCTGCTGGGGCGTTGCCATACTATGTGAAAGCACTATGATTCGCACATATGCAAATGCTATGTGTGTGTGTGTGTGAACATGTTCATGAATTTGCATATATATGTATGTTAAACTCACACAATCATTAACATGTCATATATGTATGCAGCGTATAATGCGCAGGCGTAAAGCTCGTGACGCAGATATGCTGAGCAGAATATGTTTATGAATGAAATGCCCGTATATAGAAATTCACACATAAACATATTTCACCACGGCCAGCAAACGTGCGTGCGTTTGCACATGCTGGCAACGGAATTCACCTAGCAACAAGGTGTAAACTCAAGTGTGGGGCAGCCGCCAAGAGCCACGCGCTGGCGCACACTTTCTCCCACGAGCCGAGTCAGTTTGACCGCCAGCAGCAGCGCCGGCTTCCTCATTACATTATTACAAAATAACATTTTCAAGGTGTTTGATTACATGCCGCCGGCACACGCTGTAGGCCATTATCAGCCGCAACAACAGTAAAAGCCGCGCATGAATCGCCACAAAAAAAAGGCAATTCTGTTGAAATTGACCTTGGCATTGGGCTAACGCACACGAAATAAGAAAACGGGGAAATTATTTATTTAATTGGCATCCTTTCATGTCTGACGTCGGTGCAGTTCTAAGCTTAAATTGTTTTTTCTTTCTTTTTTTTTTTTTTTTTTAATTTGCTTTTTAATAAGCTTCAATCGCGGCGCCGGCGCGCCTTTTCGCTTACGCATGCGCTCGCTCTCTTTACTCCTACCCAGGGGCGGGCGCATATACGCGCTCATGAGAACCCGAAGCTGCTCCTGCGCTCTGCCCCTGTTTTTGCATACGTATAAAAGCTAACAACTTTGGGCGAAGCTTTCATTTGAGTTCGCAGCTTATCAGGTGACGGGTCGGTGGTTGTTTGTTTTCAAGTGTTCTCGCTCTTCTCTTCGTTCAACCGCCAAACGTTTAAATAATAACACGTATACGTCGTGTTCGCCAGTGGGGCAGGTGCAACTGCATGTGAATTGTTCAAAAACTCACATTGGAATTTATTAAAACAAAACAAACAAACAACAACAGCAATGCGCGTAAAGGTGAGTTGCAATAAATATAGAAGAAGAAGAAAAATATGCAATTATTTCGAAATGCAAATATTTCCCACAAAAGGCAATTGAGATGTGAACGTTGCAAATTTCCCACTATTTGTGCAATATGCGCAAAATAGTGGTCAATTGACAGCATAAACGTTTAATTGCCTTTTATGGCTGATATTGAGCGTTGTTAGCTTTGTTTTAAAGAGGGGTGTGTACCATGCAAACCTGTCCACAGCCAGCAAGATCACCTGTATGTGCTAAAAATAAAAATAAAAAAAAAAACACCAAATGCGCTTTTGTTCTCTGTAAGCACACAAATAAGCATAATGCGTTTCGAATGCGGAAATGTGAGCGCTTATTACATAATTTTCACTTCAACTCTTTGCAATCGGGGAAGTTTCGCATATTAAAACGGGCAATTTATAAAAAATTACCAATTTGGCTGCGTCGACTTGCAAATGCGCTCCAGTTAATGTTTGTGACCCAGTTTGTTGACAACAAAGGCGCCACCTGGCGTCAGCCAATGCAGTTAAGCCACATACAAATGCTGGCTGAGAGTTTAATTAATATTTTGTAATTGATTCATGTTTTAACTAATTCATTTGCTTTTATGCTGCAGTTCGTTCTGTTCACGCTGATCCTCGCCAGCTGCCTGCTGAGCGGAATCCGAGCGCACTGCTCGCTGGACACGATGAAGGCGTTCGCGATGGAGGCGTGCGAGCGCCTCTTCCAGAGGGACGAGGGCCGGGAGCGGCGCTCCATAGACTACGGCGATCATCATGCGAATAAAGTGTCGCGTAAGTAAATTTAAATGCATTTAAATAAGGTCACAAAGTCAGTCAACCCATGGCAACGGTATCTGAATCCGAATCGGAATCGGAACTGCAAAACACGTTTACCACAAAAAAAAAAAAAAATCAATACATTAATTAAACAGAAAAAAAAAAAGAAAAAACCAAAAAAACAAATTAACCGTTTTCAAGGCGCAAGTTCAAGACAAGAAATCCGCATTAAATGCAATTTTTCCATAAATTTTATTTATTTATTTATTTCCCTTTCCACTCGATCCCATTGCAGATGAGAAAATGCACAAGGGTCAGCATTATGTCGGACGCAGCAGCTATCCGCACGGCGGCTACCTGAAGGTCAGCGAGCAGCACTTCCATCGCCTCATCGGCATGGACGTGCTGCCACGCTACAAGCCACGCAAGCAGCACCAGCTCAAGAAGCTGCGACCCAAGCGGAACAGCTCCGCCAAAAACTACAGCAACATCTCCTACTGCTGCTACCATCAATGCAACGACGACTTCTTCTGCTGAGCCCCCCCGAGAAGCCACGGAGGAGTAGCATCCTACCCCAGGAATAGTCAGCAACTGTTTCCGTCCCTAGCATTAGATATATATATGTATATATATATATATATATGTATTGAATTATCGTATTTGTAACGCGCTCAACTCTTATAGAGTAGGTACCTTAATTTGTTACCCTGGCGGCGGGCTAGGGCCAGCAGATCTTGTCACAGTATTACACCGTAGAAAAATGCTTAAAGTATTTAGTTGAATAAGCTCCTAGATCGTAAGACCTAATATCAAATACAACATTTGTCTCCATATAAAAAAAATTGTCTTTGTCTTTGTAACGGGGCAATCCACGCGCATGTGTGGAAAATTGGTGAAAAACGTTTGTGTGCAACTTTTTTTGTTTCCCTTCCGATCGGCTCGGAACTTATTTTCAAAAAGATCTTTGAGAGAATTCATTTTAAAAGTGTCACGGGCAAAGTTGGGATAGGCAAGTTCTTATTCTATACAGACATGGGTCTAAACATAGCACCACCCCCCTCCCCCCACGTCATTTGTTGACGGTTTTTACGTCTACCTCAATTTGGCATCTAAATCTGGAAATCTGATTGTGGGTCAAAACCCATGTAAAATTGTACCCTCAAATATCCAAGATTAAGACGGGGCTTCGGGGAATGCATGTGTGGAAAAATCGTACATATAAATATAAAACTATGTACATACATACATACATAAATAAATACATACATATACATACATACATACATATACATACATACATACATATACATACATACATACATACATATACATACATACATATACATACATACATACATACATATACATACATACATACATATACATACATACATACATATGCATACATACATACATATACATACATACATACATATACATACATACATACATATACATACATACATACATTTACATGCATACATGTACATACATACATGTACATACATACGTAGATACATCCACATACATACATACATACATCTACATACATACATACATCTACATACATACATACATCTACATACATACATCTACATACATACATCTACATACATACATCTACATACATACATCTACATACATACCTACTTACCCGCCTACTTACCCGCCCACCTCCTCCAGCGCCGCCGCCTCCTGCTCCACCGCCTCCTCCACAGTTGCTCCTCCAGAGGCCAACGTTTCCTGCCTTGTTGAATTTCAGCAGAGCCTACTTCAATTTTTGAGAATCGAGGAGGACAGCACTTGGCAAAAATTCGTTTTATTTAAATTTGCAGCATAGCGACAAAACAGTTTCGTTTGCGTTTTGTATGGAAAAACAAACATGCATGCATACATACATATATACATAAATGCAGACATACATACATACATACACTAACACACACACACACACACATTTGTATATATATATATATATAATTAAACAGAAATATCTATCTCTATTTATAAGTCTATTGATTCTAGCTGCTTGAATGATTGACTAACTGATTGACTGATTGAAAATCAATCACGACAGCGATGAAAATGCCTGCAAAGACGGAATTTTCAATTTCACCTACAAATGTGGAAAATGGATGGATAACGATTATGTCGAACTTTTCGTTTATCATCTAATCTATTTCTTTCTACACACTCCGCCTTTCACTCTCTTCCTCCCTCTCTGTCTCTCACACACCTTTCTTCGCTCTCCCTCTCACGCTCTCTCTTGTTGCTCGATTGAGTTAATTTACGTATTTAAATATTCATTTGACTTTATAAGAAAAGAAACGAATCCAAGTTGAGGAAGGTTTTCGATTGCAATTCCCGGAATGCAGCTAATGGACAGGTGCTCCAGCAGCAGGTGGAGCAGCAGGCAGGCAACGCATTTTAAAAACCCAACGATTTGGTGAATGGAGCTCCACTTGGCTGGTGGCAACACTCGGAGAACTATGTGGCGCACACATCTCTGGTGGAATGGACTCCTGCTGCTCTCGTGCGTGCAGAGCGTGAAGCCAAAGAAATATATCGTGCGGACAGAAGGGTGTAAAATCGAGGATCCGTATCCGTATGATGCCGAGGTGTGGAAGAACTTTAAGCGCATTGAGTACACGGAATGCAGCACGCTCCAGCCGCTCACCCGGGCGGAGTACAATGCCAGCACGGAGTTCTATCAGCTCCATATCAATCAGAGTGCGTTCCAGCAGTATCTGCAGATTGATCTGGACTTTGCGGCGCATTCATCAAGCTCGCCCAGCTGCTGCTATATGCCCGTGGAGCGTGTCACGGAACAGGAGGTGGATCTGGGCGAGAATTGCATATCCTTCGAGAGCGGCGTCCAGCTGCGTAACACAACGCTCGGCTTTCTCGTCCAGTGCTATGCCAATGGCAAACGGATCTATACGAACGGACACGCAACCGTGCCGGAGCGCGGGCACGTGCGACGCCGCCTGGCGGAATGGGCGATAGAACGTGGAGAGGCTGTGCCCAGTGTGCTCCTCGTCGCCATGGACACGATCTCGCGGCAGCAGCTGATGCGCGCGATGCCCCTGACACGGCAATATCTGCAGAACACGGGCTGGTTCGAGCTGGCGGGCTATAACAAGGTGCGACACCAAATCCTACGGGGAACAGTTCAATTGAAAATCTTTCTTCCTGCAGGTGGAAGACAACACGTTGCCTAATGTGCTGCCTTTGACCACGGGCTACAATCGCAACAGCGTCAATCACATGTGCAATCCGCATGAGGAGGAGGGTCTGGAACGTTGTCCGTTCATCTGGAAACTCTACCAGGATCTGGGCTATGTGACGGCCTTCGGGGAGGACGATACGCCCATCAACACGTTCAACTATCTGATCAAGGGTTTCCGCCAACCGCCCGTGGATTATTATTTGCGTCCGTATTTGATGGCCGCGGAACAGTGGCTGGACGGAAGCGACCAGCTGGAGCAGGACTCACAGCCGTGCCTGGGCTATCGGCATGCCGCGGAGCATGTGTACGACTATGCGCTGGAGTTCACGCGACGCTATCGGAACGACAGCTACTTCGGGTTCTTCTGGACAAACACGCACAGCCACGGGAACAGCATATCCCGGACGAGCGCGATGGATCGGTATATGCGACGGTTCTGGCAGCGCATGGCCGAGCAGGGCACCATGGAGCACAGCGTTGTGTTCTTTCTGAGCGATCATGGCCTGCTGGATGGATCCACCAGGCGAACGCCGCTCGGCTGGCTTGAGGAGCGTTTGCCCTTCCTTTATATTTGGCTGCCGCCGCATTTGAGGCAAGCCCATCCGGAATTTGTCCATGCACTGAATGAGAATCGTCAGCGTTTGACCAGTCCGTTCGATGTGTTCGTCACGCTCAAGCACATCCTCCGGCTGGCCAGTCCCAATGACCTGGCCCATTTGCTGGGCGATGCTGCGGATTGCCCCAGCTGCCAGAGCCTGCTGCAGCCGGTGCCGCTTGCCAGGACCTGTGCGGATGCCGGCATTCCGGAGCATTGGTGCACCTGCAGATCCTACTACACCTACAGCCGACATACGTCCACGGATTATCTGATGGCCCAGCTGATAGTGCAGCACATAAATGCTCTGTTCGAGAAATACAAAGATGGCAAATATGCGGGACTCTGCAAGCCCTTGACCCTGATGAACATCATGCGGGCCTCGATTGCCCGGCTCAATAAGGCCGATAATCCGCGCATCTCAATACATCGGCTGCAGATCCAGGTCGAACCCACGCAGTCCATTTACGAGGCAACCTTGAGCCACAACAATAGCTCCCAGAATATGGTTATATCCGGAATAAGTCGTCTGGATGAGCACAAACCCTTCTGCTACGGCGAACAAGTGGATCAATTTATTTGCAAGTGTCGCTAAGAATAGCTTATCAAGGATAGGAAGCAAGGATAGGTCTTATTTTGTTATATATACATGAATATTATAATATGTACTTACCTGAAAGTCAGATCCATAAGCACAATTTTATTAGAATCTCTTAGTACGAAGCAAACAGACGTTTTTTTACCACTGAAAGAAAAATAAGTAGAGTTAATTTTAATTTTAATATCAAACTTTTTAAATTCAAATTCAAACCAACCTGCGCCAAATCGCAAATTCGATTAATATAATAAATCGTCATCGATAGTTTCTCACCACGAAACTATGGCGATAGTTTGCAACTATCATATATTTATCGTCAAGTGTTATCGTTGCTGCCCAACAGTTATCGTTATCGAACTTTTTCAAATGCCTATATTTAAGAAAATACACAATAAAGTTAATTCTACTACCGAAAATGGAAAACAATATTTTATACTTGAGTTAATTAAAAAAAAAACACTTGTTATGGGAAACATATTAGTAGCTATTTAAATAAGGCAAATTGATATGCATTAAACTTCAGAGATACTTCTAAGAGACTCTACTTGTTATTGATATGTTAAAGCTTTCGAAATTGTCCTGGTAATTAGATTCACCTCATATATCACATGTATAATAGACGCCTTGGCAATCGTCGCACTTGATCCTGCGGCTGCTCTGTGCATCAATGGGCTGCATTGCCTCGAAGTACTTGGACACAACTGTTAAGATCTCGTCGCGATGCTCAACCAAAAACTCGAAAGTAAAGTTCTCGTAATTGTTGATGCACTGCATCAAGATGCGATAGAGCACCGATTCCGTGGACAGAAATGTGTTCAACGAACGTTCAATGCCATCGAGATACTCCTCGAGAAACTTGCGCACCAGCTGCAGGAGTAACTGTATCGACTGCTCCCCAAAGTACTTGGCCAGAGCGTCGAGCACATCCAGCAGGCTGCCCACGTGCCCAATATGCTGCACAAACTTATCACCAAAACGTTCGGTTAACGCATCCACATTTATATGCACCTGCCCGTCCGGGTCCTGGCTGATGAGCGTGGCGCCCAGCGCAGCCAGCGTGGCGGCACCTTCGCTCAAATGCTTGTGAATCTTATGCATGCCCAGCAGCGCCTCCTTGAAGGGTATATCATTCAGCGTGCGCACCATATCAAACTTCTGGCCAGCACAGTCGCTGTGCAGCTTGGCCGACTCCTCAGCAATTTGCCCAAAGACTTGCCTACAAGCAAACGAAGAGGATTAGCTCGTCTGGTAAGATAGAGTAGAACCTTTACCTGGTCTGATTGCTGACGGCGTGCCGCAAGGATTGGCCATCGGTCGCCTGCTTGGCGAGGCGCAGATTGTTTATGGAGTGCGTAAAGATGACCAGACTGGCGGCTATTTGGAGCACATCGAGGCTGCTTAATGGCTGATCATCGCTGATTTTCTGCAACAGGAAGGAAAGCATGTCAAAAAACGGGTCTAACCGACTATGATATACTCTGCAAATAAATGGAAATGGGACTTCTCTCTGGTAATTGGGTTTGTGGCCAAATATCCTCTTTTCGCTTTGTTAACAGAGTATAGAAATTAATGAGCACAAAAGCTCGACTCACCGAATACAAATCGTAGACGCCATTAGCCACACCCGTGCCCGATAGTACAATGGATGACACATTGATGCCCTTCACGGCCAACTGAGCAGCCGCATTGACTTCGGTGCGCGCCACGCTGAGCGCCGTGCTAGCGCCCGCCGCGCCCAAGCCGACAACGCCGCCGGCCACGCCCAGCCAGCTGTTGCGCGATTCGTTGTCGAGCAGCGATATCGACTGTCCATGCTGGCGGCGATCGTGCAGACAGTTAACGGAGCGCACGGTGCTGTAGGCAGCGGCTGTGACGCCCACCACGGTGGCAGCCAGCAGTATGGTTGGCGCCACGGGCAAAGCCAGAGCGGCAGCGACGGGCACGCTGGCGGCCAGGCCACCGACTGTGGCCAGAGCATCGCCAGCTTTAAGTAGTGCGCGTTTTGAGGCGGGCGTGGCATGCACCATGAGATGCACACCATTGTCCTCGTCGTTGGTGAGTCTGTAGATGCCCTGGCAGGGCGCAATCATTGTGCCCTTGGGCAGCGTATTGTTGTAGACATATTGCCGCCAGTTGGCATAGACCCGACCATGTTCGTCTATGAAGATCATGCAGCAGTTGTCGCTGTTCTCGCTATCCTCCCGCATGCACTTGCGCGTCCGTATGACGGGATGACAGCTGTAGCTGGTGGCATGCAGCGCCAGTTCCGGATCCGTTTCTGGTGTCACCAGCACGTAGATTATTGCCGAGAGAAGCATGCGATTTGTATAGCGCCTCTGACGCCAAACATTCTCAAATACTTTCTGGCGTCGTCTGGCCAATGTTTTGCTTCGCTTTGCCGTATTGCCGCTGATTAGATGCTCAATCTTTTGCATAAGCACCTCGCCCTGATCTGGCGCAAGTCTGCAAGAAAATCATATTAATTTGTTTCCTATTGGATATTGGAATTTACTTACGCATCCCAGATGATTTCCGAGCGCAGTCCGCTGCTCAGTGCAAAGTCCCGTTGCACCTCATACACAGAGCGCGTCATTTTTTAACTACATTAAACGATGCGTAATTAACGATTCTACAATAAATTCGATCATCTGTTCGTTGTTATTCGTTTGGTTGCCAGGGCAACTAACAGCTGACTGCAGCAGTCAATAAATTGCACAAGCATACGCAAATGTATGCAAGTGTGCGAATGTAAATTGTAAATTGAAGGAGGGTTTTTTGAATTTATAATAAAGTTAAGATGCAGCCCTGACGATACCAATTATTTTAAACAGGGCCGTTACATCAATTATAATCTATCGAAATAGAGTCGCAAAAAATGATCGATACCTGTGTATTAATTGCCACAGCCCTGGCATTTTGTTTATAACTAAATACGCGCAACCGCCGGACACAGCTATGCGAACGTGTGTGCGACAAATTTACAGTTTAAATTCAATTAAAGCAAGCAAACACTGACTAAAGTAAAACTGTAGTGCTCCAAATGCAGCAAGCAAACTACAATTACGGGCAATTTACGTAAGAATTAACAAGAGTGCACAGTGCGAAGACAGCACACAAATTGAACAAACAGCGTTGTTGGCCAAAACTACCCAAAAGCGCACACGCACACACGCGCACGAATACCAAGAACAAACAGAAATACACACATATATACACATATGTATATATGTTTGTATGTATGAAAATATACACATGTATAGACACATATAAGCCGCAAGTAACTAACAATTGACATTGTGGCCCACCTGTTTGTTTATGACGGCGGCAAAAACTTAAGAGGAAAAAAAAAATACAATTGTTAACAAATTGCGTATGCATGTGTCACGCATTTGTTGTCGCCGTTGATAATAACAATAGAGCTTATGTACATGCATGTACATAACCCTAGACGCAGTTAAAAAGCCAATCAAACCAAAAAACCTCGCTGGTCGCGTGTCTTATTTACATCATCTTATTTATGGCTTCAAATGCGCAGCTCGGCAAAATCATTTTGTTAATCGCAATTGCCGTTTTTTTCTACTACTTCTTCTGGGTGGCAATACTGCCGTTTATGATACTCGATGAAGGTGAGTATCAAAACAAACACTTCTATGTGTGCGTATGTGTGTACGTGTGTGTGTGTGTGTGTGTGTCAATATTATTGTTAGCTTTATTAAATAATCTCGGCTTTCATTTGCAGACTCAGCTTTGCGGCTTTTGTGCGGTAATTAAAGTTCCGCAGATTAAATTCGTTGTGTGCGACAAATATACAATATATACATATAGACCATGCCCCTTTACCCCCCACCCCCCTCCCTTACCAACCTGCCCTTCATTGAGTTAATGATGATGTAAGGTGTGTGTGTGTGTGTGTGTGTGTGCTTTTTTTTATGTTTCGTTCTGTTTTGCCGCAGGGGTTGCTAACATTATTAATTTTTGTATTTTCTGGCATTTAGCAAAATAGAAAGCTGCCACTTTCTAAGCTTAATAACTAATTATCATTTTCGAAGCTTTTCAAATATTGCAAACTAAAATGTGTGTTTAAATTTAATGATGTTTTTCAACACGTACAGTGCTCACTCGCTAATTGCTACGCCCAGAGGTCAGAGTTGTCAAGAACACAAAAATGAAATTGTAGAAATTTTAAAAAATTTGTAACTCTTACAGAAAATATTACGATTTGATAAAAAAAAAAACCTCTATTATATTATACATAAATTATTGTTGTATAAATATTGATGTTAACAGTTGAGGCGATTTGTTTTTCTGCGAAAAAGCGTCTCAGCTCTTAAGCATAATTATTTGCTATAGGCAGTGCATATTACATAGTAAGCCAGATCGGGCCACTATATCATATAGCTGCCATTCACATTAGATATCGGAAATGAAATGTTTCTATATAAAACTCTTGTGTTAATAATTCGAGCAGCTTAATACATTTTTTTCAAGGGTATTTCCACTTTGTCAACCCAATGATAACAGTTTTTGCCGCTAATTTATTGCGTTCTGTTTTTAAGCACATGCTCTAAATATAGAATTTGAGAAAAAAAACAAAAACATCAGTTTTAAATTGACCTCAAGAAAAACATTTAAAAACAAAAACAAATAAGTATAAAAAAAATATATATATATGTATTGAAAATGTTTGTTAGGCAAGACTTCATTTTGTTTGCGTGTTCACTTTAGCGAGCGTCCACTGTAGCTAGGTGTGCCACGTGGCAGTTCGATTTAACACAGTCAATGTCAAGGTCGTTTTATCCATCTCCCTCTAATGTGCTCTCCTCTTTTACTCTGTCTCGCTCTCTCTTAGGTAATGTCATATTGTCGCTGTTTCCGCCGCTAAAATACGCGTTCATTGTGCCCACTGTATTTGGGGTCATCTGCCTGGGCGGCATTGCCGTATTCAGTTTCTATCACATTTGGAGCATTACGCGGCAATCGAAGCGAAATTGAAGATTGTGCCCGCCGTGAAAAAACAAAAAAAAAAAAACAACAGACGCACATGTGAGGCGACGCCAGCGACGTCAATAGGGTCGCCATCGTCTCTCGCTGCGCGAGATCAAGCGATTACAACCAGGCGCAGCTACTGCGGCTGCGACGGCTGCTCTGGCCGAGGCCTCAGTTGGTAACAAGATGCCGCAGTGGCTGGTCATTGGCATCTCGGGTGTCACCTGTGGCGGCAAGACGACGCTGGCGAAAAGTTTGCGCGACTATTTCAAGGGATTGCGCAATGCGCCACTGTGGAATACACCGTATACGATTGGCGAGGTGCAGCTCATCTCGCAGGATGATTACTTTCTGCCCGTCGATGACAGGCGGCACAAGCGTGTGGATAAACTGAATGCGATCAACTTTGAGCTAATCACCTCGCTGGACACCAAGCAAATGCTGGCCGACATAGCGCACATCATCAATGCACCGCCCACGGAACAGATCGCTGCCTACGCCAACTTCGAGCATTACGCTCTACAGTATCAGCAGCAGCAACAGTTGCAGCAGCAGCAGCAGCAACAGCAGCAGCAGCAATATAATGCGGCATATTACGGCAAACAATTGCCGCCGGCTGCCTATCAATATCATCCACAGCAGCAGCAGCATCTCCGGCAATCGCAGCATCCCGGCCAGCAGCATGCGGATCATCTGATGCGTTTGAATATCAATGCACAGATTGCCGCTCAGCTGCGCGATAAGAAAATCAATGTGCTGCTAATTGAGGGCTTCATGATCTTTAATCAGCCGGAACTGCTGGCGCTGTGCAATCTCAAGTATCACTTCCATTTGCCGTACGAGAAGTGCTATCAGCGGCGGATTAAGCGCACCTACGATCCGCCCGATGTTACCGGCTATTTTGAGCTGTGCGTTTGGCCCTACTACGAGAAGAACTTTGCCGAGTATCGCGACTGCAAGGACATTACCTTTCTCAACGGTGAGATCAGCAAGGAGAAGATCTTCAAGTTTGTGCTGCAGCGCATTGTACACTATTTCGAGGAGCGTTGCGATGTGCCCACCGTTGCCGCAGCTGCGACCACATCGCCGATTGCCTGTCCGCCGCACCAGAAGCGCTTCGGCATGCTCTACATGGCGGCCACGGCGGCGGCGTCGGCCTGTCCCATGGAGCAGTAGCCAAGGAGGCTAAAGATCCTGTAAAAAGCAAAAATCATGTACATTTAAATCCTAGTTTTAGCCTGGAATTTAACTGGATTTATGCATCTTTCACTAAACTTAAGCTAGCTTAAAACACGACACATTCACGACAAAATTAAATATGGTTCAGGAATACAACTATATAAACTATATATATATATAGTAGGATGGATAACAAAATCACATGAATGAAATTCAATATATATTATTATTAAAATATATAATTAGAGCCTAATAGAAATGCATCCTCCAGCTGTAAATATTAGACTAAGAACTATCTATAGTTATTTTTTTCTTGTGCGAAGCAAAACACACCGAATTAAAGTATACACTAAAAACGCCTGGAAGAGGAGCCGAAACAATTCGTTTGTGCATTGCTAAATTTGTAATTGTTATTTTATTGCTCACGCAGAGTCTTAAATGGGGAGGTGGGGGGGGAAGAAAACGGATTGAAACGTCGTAAATGAAAATAAATAGATTATACATATATTATCGTATATATAGAAGTAGTATGTGCGATTATACAATACTCTATCGAACGGGTTTGATTAGCTCTGCATGCACGAATTTATTGCCAATTTCTTGAATGATTAGTTTAGCAGGGTTTGCGATTATATCAATTGTCGACTTAGAAAGTATGTTAATAACTTTATGCTTAATTATTCTGCCTCCATCCAGTTCCGGCTGCAAAAGAGAGAAAAGACTAGTCAGTGATGGACTCTTGCGAATATTTAGTTGCAAACACCTTAGAGCGCATCCCAGTCGGTTTGACTGTTGTACACCTCCTCCTCCAGCCAGACGGCATAGTTGGCCTTAAAGTAATCCGTTAGCTCCACCTTGCGATCCCACCAGCCCGAATGGCCAAAGAATGCAAAATCTGAATGCGTCAGTATCTCATCGCTGGGAAAGCCACCCTCTACGCCGTAATCGTGCAGCTGCTGGCTCTGCTGTCCGCTGCTGTTGGTGACGCCGCCGCCGCTGCTGCCATTGTTGCCATAGCCATTCGAGTCCCGATCACCGCTGCCATTGCCCGCATGCATATTGGATTGCTGTGCATTCTCGGCATTCTGGGCGGCGGTGCCATTGTTGCCCACTCCGACTCCGCCACCGGCGCCGCATTTTTGCGTAGCCTCCGGATAGCGGCGCAGGTTGAAGCGATCGACACAGGCGCGCAGCGTGCACTCCTCGGCCTGAAAGTCCCAGGGACGCGACTCGAGATCATTGCCAAAGGCCCAGTCATCGTTCAGGCGATGTCGCACCTTGGAATAGATGGCACTCAGAGTCTTCATGTTGGACTTGCGCCATTGTCGACCCAAGTATTTGGTTTGCATCTTCAACAGCTTCAGCACGTACAGCTGCATCATGGCATGCCGCACCTTGAGCGTCTTCTTTAAGATAGGCGCCGACTTGAAGACGACCAACATCATGACGCGCGAATGCTTCCACTTGATTAGCTTGTTGAGAATCCGCAGCAAATTGATGCACGAGAAGACATTGCGCCAGGAGTACGGCTTATCGGACATCTCACCACCATACACAAAACTATCGCCGCTCAAATCCGGCTGCTCACCAATCACACAGGAGGGAAAGTCGAGCAGGGGTATTGAATTCTTGGTGTTCACATACTCCGTGATGGTCTGGTTGAAGAACTTTAGCACCAAGGGTATGCAGTTGGCAAACACCAGATGCTGGGACATGAACTCGAACTGATAGACATGGTTAATCTTGAAATGCTTCAGATAGAGCAATATTATGGCCGAGACAGCCTTCACAATGATTTCCTTATGGCGACCCATGTCGACGGTCAGTTTAGTTGACTGCGTCGCGGTCAGCGGCATTTTCTTGGGCAGCACATCGGCCATTATGTTGATGCTCTCTGTCTTCGACTTGGATGTGGGCGAGGCGGCCAGCAAGACCTTCAGCAGGGCTATCATATATTGCGGCAGATTGGGCAATATGGCCTGGTAGAGTATCTCGGCCGGCGTCAGCTTAATCTCATCTTCGTGCGTTGAAATGGGATTGCGTGCAATGTCCTCCTCCTTCTTGATCTGCATGTCCGCCAGGCTGACATACATGTGACGCTGCAGCGTCTTGAAGCCCTCATGAATGGGCTGCGGCAGACCCGCCAGACTCTCGTGATCCCCAATCAGCGAGTAGCCAATAAACTTGTTGCGCGATATATCCAGGAACTGATCAATATCCTTCTGGCGCACCTTTGGCGTCCAGGGCAAACGCGCCGTTATCTGCACGGCCGGCACTGTGGCCGGGGGCTGTGTAAGACTTGGTTGATTGTTCGGATTAGCTGTTGCCGTGTTGCTGCTGTTCCCGCTGCCACTGTTGTTGCCCGACGACGTGGAAGCGGAGGGATCGTCAAAGGGTCGATAGTACTGAGAGAGATCGTCCTCGCCATTGCCCGTACCCGAGCCAGTTGTTGAATTGCCATTGTTGGCATTCGGGCCGCCCTCATTGCCCGAGAGCTCCATATCGATTTGCTCCGGCTCGTCCAGGAAGCGTTGTTTCATTAGCGAACGCCTGTTGGGCAATAGAATCAAATGAGAGTAACTATTTGAATAATAATAAATAAAAACCTTACTTGAAATTCCGCTTGGGATACTGATTCTCCAATATATCCGTTGCCGTCGCTGGCGGTGAACTGGCGCGCATGCATTTGGTTACCTCCAGTGTGTCCTCTGTGATCGGTTCCAGCCCGATCTTGGCTCTGTACTCGTTCTTCAGATTCTTCAGCACTTCCATGCCGCCAAGTCCCAGCAGCGAGACCTTCCACAGCAGCAGCACAACCTTCTTCATGGGAAACTGTGGTGCAGCGCCGCTACAGAACCGCGTAATCATGCCCAATAGCTTGACGGCGAGTAGCTCACCGTCGGGCAGGGGGCTGTTGATCTCCTGCACAAAGGACTCTGCCAGCTGCTTGTAATCCTCACTGCCCTTTTCGCGCTCATCGCGTATTGTCTCCGTTATGATATACAGCACTGAGAGTATGACCCGTATATCCGTTGAATCCACCAGCGTCACGTTGGTAATCTTGACCGCCACAATATCTGGAGAGCAAGCGGTCTCGATCTCCATGTTGAGCAAATCGATGAAGGAGGAGAAAACGCCCAGCTGATAGAGTACAATCACATTGTCGCGCGTATTCTGATGCTGCTCCTCGTCCGATTGCACCTCGGCCCAGCAGCCCTGTGCCAAATATAGGATGCAACGTGCCGCCTGCATGCGAAAGGAGCGATCTGATACCTCCAATTGATCGACCAGTTTCATCACAATGCTGCGCTGCGCAGCGGCGTCCTGCTTCTGCCAATTTGGCGGCAGATCATATAGATCCATTTGGTCCTCAAATGCCTTGACATTCATTTGGAATTCACTGAATTCCGTGTAACTGTAGAGTTCGGCAATTTCATTTTGATAGCTATCCACATCGGCGTAAACGAAATCCAGATCAGGCCCATCACAATTAGCATCCACGTCGTGAGTATCCTGCTCGAACGAGTTGTTTATGGATGAAAGCATCATTTAGAGGCTGTTCTGGACAAGGTGCAGCAAATATGTGTATGTGTGTAGAAGTAGATGTGTGTGTGTGTATGATTGTGTGGAAATATGTATCCTGGCTTGGCAGTACGGCTGCTAAGGGCACGCCCTTTTCTCACTACACTTTGCCAAAAGCGCGCATAATACTATTTATGCGTTAAACACTGCATTTCACTATAAATTTTGCAAACATAATTATTCGGCAGACTATCACAAAAAATCAAGCACAAAAGAAGAAAATTTTGAAGTGTGACCAAACTATGATTACAATTTAATACCACACACTACGATATATCGATATGCATACTGCGATAGCATTCTACGATATCAATATCGATACTCGTATTGCGCCCGTTGCCTCCCACAGCAGCTATTTATTTGTGTGTTTCGCACAGTGCCGGCAGCAGTTTTCATTTGAGCCTCAAAACAAAACGATTACGAAAGAAGTAAGAAATTTCACATACTTGATCAAAAAGCATAACAGATTTCATTTGTGGAGTGTCCGCGTGCAAAGAGCATAGCTAGTGCCCTCACGATTGGCTGTACTTTGTACCCTCAGTGCATATCAGCGTGAGCTTGCAGATTCTTATTGGCACAGTGACTACCAACTGCAAGCATATACATACATTCATACATAAATATATATATATCCATATATAGAACTACGTTTCAGAATCAGAAATTGTGCATTTGTAATTAAATGAAAAGAAAATGGCTGGCCGTTCAATAATATCCCTTCTGCTTGGTGCACTGGCCACGGCCTTGGGCTCGTACATCTACTTCACCAATCAAGTAATTACAATTTCTAACTACTGTCACGCACACAACTACAACTACAGTTCTATCGAAAAGTTTGTTTGCATGCCCAGTCAAATGTCGCGTGGGGGCTACTAATACGACGTTTAATCTAATCAGCGCATATTCCATATTAGTATTAAGAACAGAACATATCGGAATGTCAATATACAGTTATCTACATATGTATGTACATACATGTTGACTCATTCACTCAGACGTAATTTCAAATGTGACTTTGACCTTCAACCATGCAACCATTGTTGTGGCAGGCCATTTACCGGCTGAGCTAGTTCTGAACAGTGCTGCCAGTTCCGATTTTTTCACGCCAAACTAGCTTTTTTTTATACTGTGGTTCCGATAGAATAGGTTTTTTGAGAATTGCATGTAAACGAATTCAAATCTAATCTGGAAAATCATATCTCTTAATAAATTATCATCGCTTATCTACCGAATTGGTAAAAACACATAAATATTTTTGATTATCATCATTACCTTCATTTCATTTTAGATTTTTGATTTGAACATTGAACATTGAGAATTTATGAATGGCCGCTTTCACTTAATGTAAATTAGAGATTTTTAAGGAAGTTCATGTTTTGGACATGCATATAAATAACTACCCAGAAACAAAGTCTCAACAGATTTGTTAATGCAATTTTAAAAGCCAAATCTAGCTTCTTTTTTAATGAACTCTTTTGCAACTCGAACTAGCTGCTTCTTTTTTTGCCACTGGTCAACACTGTTTTCGACTTCCTATTCGATTCTCATTAATGACTGATAATACAGATACGTGTGTAATCCTTATGACTATTTGCAGTTGTCTTCCGCTTGCTATTAAATATGAATTTCAGACACATTCAAAGCATTACACGGCGAACATTCAGGTGCTTCAAATTGCCAGCAACAACAACAACAACAACTCGTAATTTTGGTATAGCTGCAATTCAAATGAATCAGTGTCCTCGCTATTGTGTTGTCCTTTTGCCATTGGTCGCCGTTGTCAGCAGTGTTAATTGCAGCGCGGATTTGGCAACGAAGTCCCAATACTCGACAGCAGCTGCCGTGAGTAGTCGTAGTAGTGTCTGTTTTATGTAGTTGTTGCGACTAATCCTAAGACTAGCCAAAAACTAAAACCCTGTTCGCCTGCTGTTGTTGCTTGTTGCCTTTGGTCTGACTGCATCTAAATTCTGTTGCTGCTTGTGCTCCTTTCTGTTTTTCATCAATTGTAATGCCTTCTATTTGTTGCAGCTCGACATGTCTAACGGCGATTACAAGAATGCAGCGTCCATTTACGAGTTTACCGTGAAGGACACGCACGGCAACGATGTCTCGCTGGACAAGTACAAGGGTCGCGTTGTGCTCATAGTCAACATTGCCTCCAAGTGCGGTTTGACCAAGAACAACTATCAGAAGCTGACAGATTTGAAGGAGAAGTACGGTGAACGCGGCCTGACCATTCTGAATTTCCCCTGCAACCAGTTCAACTCCCAAATGCCAGAGGCCGATGGCGAGGCCATGGTTTGCCATCTGCGCGACTCCAAGGCAGACATTGGCGAGCTCTTCGCCAAGGTATACGAATTGTTTATCCAGCTAAAGCACATCTAAACGTTGTTCTCTTTCCCCCATATAGGTTGATGTTAATGGCGATAACGCCGCACCGCTCTACAAGTATCTGAAGGCCAAGCAGACTGGAACTTTGGGCAGCGGCATCAAATGGAATTTCACCAAGTTTTTGGTGAACAAAGAGGGCATCCCAATTAATCGCTATGCACCCACCACCGATCCCATGGACATAGCCAAGGATATTGAGAAATTATTGTAGATCCCGATCTCTCGATCTCTCTCTATCAATATAGCTCCTAAGAAGAATTATCTAACTATCTAGCTTGCGTCATATATATGTATTTTGACTGTAGCCTATAAACTAGTCCTAGCCTCAGTTCTGGGCACATGCAGTGCATGTTCAATTTGTAATTGTATTCTAATAACATTTACTTCAAATAAACGCAAATTATCTATGAAAAATGAAATCGTTAACTACACTTACCTCCATGATGGCCATGCGCGCCTGCCGATAGAGCTTGGCCAGTATGCCCACGTTCATGATGACGCCTTCGCCCTCATTTTTGGGTTTGCGCACCAGCTTGTAGTGTATCCAGACCATGTCATGTTCGTGATTCGTCATAAAATATATAGTTATATATAGAGATATAAATGTGAGCTCCTGTTAAATGTTAATATTTTGTATTTTGTGCTTGTTGAATGGTAGCTGAAATTTGAAATTTTGAATTATAAAATAGATAGAAGTTGACTACTATATAATTTCTCTAGAAATACAAGGCGAGAGCCCCAACTGTTTATGCTGTTTATACCCTGAAACCCATTCAAAATGGGTATAAGGGTATATTGTATTCGTGCAAAATCCAAATGTATGTAACAGCCAAAAGGAAGCATCTCCGATCCCATAAAGTATATATATTCTTGATCAGCATCAATAGCCGAGTCGTTCCAGGTATGAACGCAAGGATCTCAGATTTTATTTTATTTTAGATGTAGGTGCTCCTAGTGCCTGCACAGATCGAGTTTGTTTCCGATAATCGATAACGCACTCCGTTTCCAAGCAATCGATAAGAATCGATATCGATATTCTGTTTTGTAGGCAATTTTGGTAAATAACAAGAGCTAGAGTAAACAAACTTGACACATAGCTTCTAAAATAGAATATATATATATGCATTCGATGTTGGAAGAAGAGGGTTCAGGGTATCCCCTAGTCGGGAGCTCCCGACTAGAAACTCTTACTGGTTTCTTGTTGTTTGTTTTCTTGTTTTTTTTTTTGGTTTTTGTTTATTTATTTAAATAATTATGTATTTTTTGGGTGCAATTAATCATTAAATTAATTAGTATTAGTATTATTATTGTTTATATAAGGTTCATATATATATTTATACGCATATATATATAATTATATATCGACTTCAACTTGCTTTGTTTTGCTCTATTTTTTGTTTTCTCTTTTTGTTGTTATCCTTCTGCTTCGCCTTTTTAAAACATTTTTTAACCATCTTTTCTTTTCTCTTTGTTTTTAATACGCCTACTGAGTGCTGTTTTTTGTCTTTTCTTTTTGGTTTTTTGTTAGTTCAACTCGTAAATTTGGGTTTTTTTTTTGTTTCGTTTTTAACATATACACACACAATTGTTATAGATTTGATTTGTTGTAACTGCTTTTACGGATAAGTACATTATACATCATATATATCGTGTTCCAAATGAAAATGATAATTAATCAGAACGCACTTTTATTTACTGCACAAACACAAACATTGTCGCTAGTTAGAATATATATATATTAGTTATTAGTTAAGTTTAGTCATAGTTCTTGTTGAATGTTTTATATGCATATGAGGTGTGAGGTGTGTGTGTGTGTGTGTTTGTATTTGGTTTCTCTTTGTATGTGCTTGTTTGTATTATTATTAATTGAACAAAACTCTATCAATATTAAGCAATTGGCGACATATTGTACACGCTATCAATATTGCTAAAAATACCTGCACATTGTTTTCTATTTATTTGAATATTTTTGTTCTATTTTTTTTAGTTTTGTTCAATTTGGTTTCCTGTGGTGCCCCATTTTGTTGGTTGGCAAAGCACTTTCGGGCAGGCGCTTGTTTAATTGTTAATAATTTGATTGTTTAAATATGTATGTATGTATACATTTATTGAAACAAGTCAAATATCTATATATATATATATATATTGGGTGAGTGTGTGTGTGTGTGTGCTGCAGTGTTGCCAAGTCAGCTAATTTTAGCTAAAATTCGGCTATTTTCAGAGATCGTGAGCGTTAAACATTTGAATTTTTAAACGAGTACTAACAACCCTGTCCATGGCCAATGTGTACTCAGCAAACTAATTTAGCTACATTGATTTTTGTCGAAAATTGGCAGTTGGCAACACTGGTGTGCAACGGCTTATTGAAATTTTCCGCAAATGAATTCGCAAATATGACTTATTATTTTTGTTTTGGAATTGTCGTATGAAGTGTATTTTCCCTATATACCATAACATATCAAGTTAAATAGTAGATGCATTATGCATTATCTAAGTAATTCGCATTTGTAAATGAATAGCCAAATATTAGATTATTTATGCCCTTCTCTTTAGCTTTCGCTTTCGCTTTAGCTGTTTGTCAAATTAATCAGATCTAATTAACAAATTGTGTGACAAGCGCTTAATTTAATCGTTGAACTGTTTGGTTTTTGTTTTGTTTCTTTAACTGAAAATCGCAAAATTATTATTATTGTATATTTTTGCTAAATGTTTGCTTTTCTTTTTCATCTTTTACTTGATTTGACTACATTTGCTTTTTAAATATGCTGCACATTAAACATTTATTTAATTGATTTAATTTAGTACTAGATAAGTAGATTGTTGTTCTTTGTTACTTGCTGTTATCATAAATTTCTTTCTTTCTTTTTTTTTTTTTTTTTTTTTGGATTATACATTTCAATAATTTGTTAAATAACCTTTAGTTAGGAACAAAAGCTTAGAGTTTCTCTAGATTTGTTTTCTTGTTGTTCTTTGTCATGCTTTAGCCGAAGAAACTGAGTTCAAAGAGCTGCGAATGCGAAAATTTGTTGGCAAGCAACCTGAACCTTGTCCAGCGCTGGCGCTCCTTGTTGCCAGCGCACAGGGGTTAAGTATATTAAGTACAATATATATATAGCATAGCTTCAATCGTATATGCATATATATAAATATATATATATGTATATATATATTAATTATGTATATATATAGAGTTTGTTTTTATGCATGAAATAATGTAACCATAAACAAATTAGCAACAACTTTTAATTTGTCCGGAGCGTCTTTTAGTTTTGTATTATAATTATTATTCATATTATGAGTCATAATTTACTTAAAATGTTTTTGCATCTGTCGCATCTGCATAGAAATTATTTTGCTTGCAATTCTCGAGACTTTTTTAACTGAGTTTTTGTTTGTTTTTTTTGTTTTTTTTTTTTAGAGGTTATTTGCAATCGAAAACTGTTTCAACTGTTCGATAATTACTTATACGCCGCCGTGCTCCGGCTTGGCCACAATCCCGGCCCCGGCCCCGGCTCCATCATCGACCAGCGCCGACTGTCCGCCTGTGGCTGGCTGCTGTTGCTGCGGCGGCGGTGGTGGCATATACGGCGGATATTGCGGATATTGCGGCGCCGGCTCGCCGCCTATGAGGCCAAGTTTATCTGCGTAAGGTAGTTTGGGATAGAGAGAGCGAGAGAGAGAGAGAGAGAGAGAGAGAGTTAGTTATTGGCAAATTAGATAAGTTTCCATTGCGATTTGCTCAATTGAATGACAATTACATTGATACGATTACACACGAGTATTACGTATACGCCAAATATAATACACTTCTATTTAGGGTAGGGCGGGGTAGGAGGGCAATATAAAGCTCAGTTATGGCGGTTAATTCAAAGCATAATGGATAAGCTAGTGCCACGCCCAATAAAAATAACGCTACCGTTATTGAGCGCGTCTTGGCCTCAAATATGTACAAATATTCATTTTGGGAAGACTACTTATAAAATTTAACTGATTTTAAGCGTAGAAATTTTCATGTTTTCCCCAACCAACTCGAGGTAAATTTTGTTTTTTTCAAACCAATTTTCAGTTACATTCGGTCCCCCGGTTTAAACTCTTGGTGCATTAAAACTTGGGCAAATTGTCAATTTTTTTTTTTTTTTTGGGAAAAACAAAACAAAATAAACACATTTAAATATGGTTTGAACAACAACATCAATAATGTTCATAAATCATAAAGCACACGCATTAATTGTAAAAACGAAAAAGGAATTTGCGTACGATAACGGTAACATACAAACATGCAGATCAAATGATAATCGATTAATAATCGATATGTTTTTGGTATTTTTTTTTTTTGTTGCTGTTGCTTACAGTGTTCGATAATATTGTAATTTCGAATGGTTTGAGCTAAGTGTGAAATGTTTTTTTTTTTTTGATACTGCTTCAATTGCAGTTTTTTTTTTGATGTTGTTTTAGTTGTTGTTGTTGTGCTGTTGGTTTTTGGATAGTACTTGTTGTTGTTGTTCATATTAAATTGTTGGTTATGAGCGTATTTATTGTGCTGTCGCCACGTCATCCGTCGGACTCGGTGGGTCATCGGTCAATTTCTCAGCCAATGGTTTCTCGAGTGTCGTTGTTGGTGGTTGTTCGGATTTGAGTGTTTGGTGTGCTACTGATGCTGATGCTGATGCTGGTGCTGTTACTGGTGCGGATGCATGAACCTGCTGCAGAGCAGGAGGCGGAGTAGCAGCAGCATCATCCGACATGAAAGGTTCTACGAGAAAGTTTCGAATTGCATTTTCGATACAAAGCCATTAAAGTGGAACCAATTTTTTTTTTGTTCTTTCATAATTTTCCTTACATTACATTAGTATGTGAAATGAGTGTGTGTGTGAGTGTGTGTGCGTGTGTGTGTGTGGAAAATAGTTTTAAACTATTTGGAAAACTGAAAATAGCTTTTAAGTGATTTGTGCGCCTAGCAATAATATTTGCAATAATGATTGACAAAAATATATTGCATTTTTCTTGTTTTTACCTCGAAATAATAAGATTTTAACGAATTTTTGGTTTCTTTTGATAATTTCTTATTGATAAACATAACATAAAGCTAAAGCTTGCACAAATTGTTTTTTTATTTTTCTTCGTCTTTCTCTGTAATTGTTGGATAAAAAAGTTCAGTGAGTGTACAGTAAATGTGGGCGTGGGCGTGGATTTGGGCGTGGTGAAAAGTGGAGTGTAATTCTCAGTGTAGAGAAAAGTATAGAGAAAATTATAAAAATCTTAAAAAAATCATACGAAAATTGCAGTACTTTATGCATTTGCTGTTTGGGACCTGCGGCCCATACTCTATAATTAATTTGGGGCGTGGCTTTGTATTTTTTTTTTACATTTGCTTTCTAGTTCAAAACGAAATGAAGACAAACTTGAAACGAAACACTTAAACAAACCACAAAGTGAACGCATCTATTCAATTCCATTCACAATGAACCACAAGTAGTTCCTACAAATAACGAATACAAATGAATATCGTTCAACTTCGCTATGGATACTCAAAATACTCGATTGAAGCGGACACAGGGGGGGACACACACAAATACAATGATACGATAACTATAGTTAAAAAAAAATAAAAACAAAAAGGGAACAAACAAATTACCGAACCTGGTGCGATAGATGTTATCGTATGGAACCAGATGATGTTGAAGTTTCTTTTTTTTTTTATATAATTTTTTTTTTTGCTTAAGTACATTGGATGTAATTGCTCGATGGATCGTTCGATTTTGGATTAACAACAATTTTTGGGCAATTTCGTAAGGCGTCAATTTCGTTTTCGAATTCAAACTCAGTTTTTTTTGTTTTTTTTTTTCTTAAGCGAACGATCATCAAACGTGCTCTACTCGCAGCGGTTGTTAAATGAGATTTGAATTGTCGACATAGTTGGGTTGATTTTTAGCATTGCATTGTAACTAAGTTACTAATTAGTTGCTGCTTATAGTTAGTTTAGCAAACTACATAAAGTTACCTAGAGAAAGAAAAGTTGACGGAATGAAAAAAAAAAACAAACAAACGAAACAAATTGAATTTAGTTTTGTGTTTAGTTCCAAATCAAAGCTAAACAAATTAGAGCTAAAAGAAGTTTTCTCAGAAATCAAAAGCAAAAAACAATTATTGTTCATTTTTTCTTTTTTGGGATACATTTGGAGAGTGTGTGTTGTGTGTGTGTGTGTGGGGGGGGGGGGGAAATATTTGGTTGTGTTTCTGTTTGGGCTGCATGTGATGAACACTTTTAGGGAATTTCCGCACGAAAGACTTACTTGCTATGATGCCAACAATGACCAGTCCAATGACGCCCATGATGATCATCATCTGTAAATGGGTAGAAACGGAATAGTTTACTTAAAGTCAATTGAAGCAGTTGGACTTGGACAGACCTTCAAGTTCTGCAGCCAGAATTTTCGTTTTAGCTTGCCCGCCTGCTGTTCGAACTGCGAGGCGCCCTGCTGCAAGGCATCGGCACGATCGTCCAGCTCGGAGAGCTTGGCATCACGCTCCAGCACCTTCTCGACATTCGTGCGCATAATGTCCACGACCTGCAATATTGGGCAAGGGATTGAATTGGCCAGGCGTTCGATTATTCGATATGCTCGCTGCTTACCTCATCGACCTGGGCCTGCGTTTGCTGCAGTCGCTTTTGTGCCGCAATTTGTTGCGGATTGCGCGGTCCGCCCACAATTTCGCCGTCGGCGCCCTCGCCCGCCGGCGGGCCATCGGTTGGTGGTGCATCGACAGCTGCTGCAGCGTCCGCCCTGCGTATGGAGAGAGAGAGATAGATAGAGAGAGAGAGAGGAACATTAGTCATCCGACATAAGGATATTTGCCAAGTCTAATCAACTCCCCATGGAGCACTCAAATGAAATAAGTACGGGCTAGCTAGGGTTATTTAGTTACACATGATGTGCTTGCAACATTTACGAGATACATTTATATATATATATATATAATTAATGTGTGCTTGTGAGTTTTTGGGCAGAGTGCGCAAGTTCTAGCCGGACTAGTCCATAGAGCTGGGCACTTACGGTTCCTTATTTTTGTCTTTCTTGCCCATGTCTCGACTGTAAACAGAAAATCAAAATCATAAACAAAATTAAATACAAAACTCTTTCAAATCAAGCTTACATATTTTCGCAAAAAACCTACGTTCCTTTGCATGACTAAGCCAACTTGTGTTTAAGTTTATCGATTTTGTGGGAAAATCCACATGTGATGCGGCGGACATGGAGGAAACGGACACGGACATGACCGGACGGCAAAATGAAAGATCGACAAGAAAGATTCGCATTAACAATTCAAACTGAATAAATCGTTAATTTGGGTAACTATTTTTTTTTTTTGTATCTTTCTTTCCAGGCGAGCCCATGCGGCGTATACGTTATTGTTTGTCTGTGTTAGTGTGAGCTTGTGTGCGTGTAAGTGTGTGTGTGTGTACACAGTGAGTGCTCTTTTGCGCGAACACGTACGAATCAGAAAAACTGATATATCATTTTTTTTTTTTGCAAAAAATTAACAATAAAAAATGTTTCTTGCCAAAAAACAAATTCATTTTGAAAAATATTTAGATTTTTTTTTCAAATATATTGGCAAATTTCATATGATTTTTGACTAGAAGAATTGTTTGCTCGCTTGCGAAATATTTTTTGGGCTTAGTATTCAATTAATTGACCGGCTAAAGGCGAACTAAGGTCAGCTCAATGTTGTTGTTCGTTAATGCAGCGTTTCACTGTAGTTGCCTTTGTTTGCGCGTAACGTTCGAAAGAGAAAGAGAAATCAATAATTTCCATTTACTTACATTGCTTTCTGTTTGGTTCTGCTTCTTCTGCTTCTGCTTCTTCTTCTGTTGTTGTTGTTGTTGTAACAGCCGCTGCTGCTATTGTTGTTGTATTAATAAATTTGAACGTCGCCTAACGTCTCGGACTGTATGTGTCCGTGTCCGTGTCGTTCCGTGTACTTTTATGCACTTGCCCAAACGTCTTTCGGTTGAGAGCGCGTTGGTGGTTGCTGCCGGATGCCGGAGGGGGGCTCGGGTAGGCAGGCTGGCAGGCTGGCTGGCTGCAGGCGCAACTTTTGGCTATTCGTTGTTTTTGTTATCGCGCGCTCCTTCGCTCTCGCTCTCGCTCTCTCGTTCGCTGACCGTTACACTCGGGGCCTCGCTCTCTGTGAGCTTTTCCTCAATGAATTTGCGCTCAACTCTCGCCCTCAACGCACACTCGCACACAGACACACAAAACGGGAAATAACTGGCAGGCAGAGATGCGTGTGTGTGTGTGTGTGTGTGCGCGTGTGTGTAAGTGACTATGTGTGTGTGAGTATGTGCGGGTACCACTTGCCACGACAACCTTTTGCAGCAGCGCTGTGTGAAGGAATCCTCTGGCCCTTTTGTTCAAACTGTTGGTGGATAGAGTATAAAAATAGTTGCAACTATTTTTAGTATGCTTATTCGTTATGTTTATTCTATTGAATGTCGGCCTCAAATGCCTTAGCTTTAGTTACGCCCACAAAACACATGCACTTACACACACACACACACGCACACAACTTAACTAGAGTTTCTCATTTCACACATACTTATATATTTTGCAACAATTTTTAGTGCATATTTTCAGGCGCAACTGAAGCGAGTTTTTAGTTCTATTCAAATAGACTTTTGTATATGAAAAATTTCATTTGCCAAATTTGCACTGGCTTGAAAAAAATCAATGAAATTTTTACACAACACAATTTTTGGTATAAGTCAATTTAGGAGCTTTAATTGAACTATTTCGCAACTTTTGTTTGCAAGCCAAAGTCTATGCATTTGGGCTGTGTCAACACATTGTTTTGGTGTTAAAATGTAACTAAATAATAAATTATATACATTTGCGCAGCACAAAGAAAATTTTCACTTACGACGTTTTTTAGCCAACTGCGAAAACTTGCAGCTTTCCTAACTGTTATGTGTATTTGGGGAAAAAGCTCGCCCAATAAGGACGAGTTGCAAAAGCTTCGTGCTGTGTGTAAAAACTAACGAGTAGCTTTCGTCTTCTGGTCCTAACGAGTACAAATGCGATAGTTTGATATCTGGTTATAAATGCTATTTTACAGCGGCTTGCGAAACTTTGTCTGTATCCATACTCTGTACATTTTGAGACAACGTCCACGATTAACCTGTAAGCGCCTGTCGACTAAAAGCTGCTCCTCCACCAGCCCGGCTTGGGTCAACATGCTGCGCAGCTCTTGTTCCGTAAAGAAATATACCATGGTGCCATCGCCGCGCACATAGAAATTATCCTCCAGGCATTTGCCGCTCTTGAAGCGCAACTGCGCCAGATCGTAGCGTCCGTAATCCCGAAATACGAGCAGACCTCCAGGCTTGAGATAGCGATAGCAGTTCTCCAGCACATGCTGCATTTTGGAGGGCTCAATGGCCGACAGCACAAAGATCATGACGATAATGTCCTGGGAGTTCTCCTCGAATGGCACCTGCCAATGCTCCTGCGTGGCATCCATTACAAAGACCTCGCAGCGTTTGTCATCATACTGCGGCTGACTACGCAGGATTTCTATGGCACGTTCCGAGAAGTCACAGCCATATACCCGCAGCTGGGATTCGGTGCTGTATTGGAGTATGGGCAAAATGGTGTTGCCCACGCCGCAGCCCAGCTCGAATATGCTGCGCGGCTGTGAATGCTCGTTGTTCGCCATGGGCGCCAGTTCGGGAAACTCCGTGAACAGCCAGTGGCGGTCTTTAAAGAAACGATTATCGTGTATGCCATAGAACGAGTCCCAGAACTTGGGTGCATCCAATTGAAAGCGTGCCCGCTGATCTTCGCTCATTTTAACAGTTGAATTCTTCTCGACAGCCGCCTGGGCGGCTAGCTCCTGCTCCGCATCCCATTCCACGTGGTCCCTGTTGAGCAAATTTTAGAACAGTTGTTTCTTTTGAGTAACTATATTCGCATTTATACCATGCATTAAACTCGAACACCTCACGGGCATCGCTGAGAATACGCTCACCCGCGCCACTCGGCTTCTTGCGCTGGCGAGTGTGTTCCCAAGTTTTGCTGGCAAAGCATCGTGGCAGATATTTACCAGGCGTTGTGCTTAAAAACGTCGGCGTTATCCTTGAGCAGACGTGTGCCAAACTGTGGACGCTTCTCATTTTCATTTGAATCATCTAAGGGCTGACTTGTGTCGCTCATGTTACGTTTCCAATCGGTTTAATTCAGAAATCCACTTTGTCAACAAATAACCGCGTTGCGTCTAAGAACATATGGCGCGAAAAGTGGCCAGACTGTTGCAAGTTGCTGGCATGTGGCAACACCGGCTTGTGTATATGTGTTATCGGCTGGCCTCCACTTGCTATCGGTTAGTATAACAAAACCGCAAAATAATTTTTGTTGTATGCGTTGTAGTTGACTGCAGCAAACTGAAATATATAAATAATCCAGGCATAAAAAGCGCCAAAATTGTAAATTAAAGAAAAATAATCAGCAACAAAAGTTGATTGTTGTGTGCATTGCAAAAGAAAACGTTTCAAAATGATGAACGAGGCTGCCGCACTGGCTAACATGATACCCTACGACACAATTGGACTCTACGAGCAGCCCAAGCCCCGATTCATCTTCAAGATGCCGCGCGTGGTGCCCGATCAGAAGTCCAAGTTCGAAAGTGACGAACTCTTTCGGCGATTGAGCCGCGAAAGCGAAATCCGCTATACGGGCTATCGGGAGCGCAGCATCGAGGAGCGTCAGGTGCGCTTCATGAACGGCTGCCGCGAGGGGCACACCGAGACGAGTTTCGTGGCTTCGGGCACAAATCTGCAGCTGGTCTTCAATGCCAATCAGAATCCCTATCTGCACGACAAGGAGTGCGACTTCGACAAGGAGCACGGCAAGGTGCACATTAAATCGTATTTTATCATGAACGGCGTTTGTGTACGCTTTCGCGGCTGGCTGGATCTGGAGCGCTTGGATGGCGTTGGCTGTCTGGAGTACGATGAGCGCAGGGCCATGCACGAGGATGCGATATTGCGCGACCAGATCGATCGCTATAATCAGCGCCTGCGCGAATTCGAGGACACCAAGCGTGCCTATCGCGACAATCGCCAGGACGAGATGGAGGCAGTGCGACGTGGCGTCGCCTCCGGCGGCATTGGCGTCGGCGCCAGCATGTGGCGACGTTAGTTGGACTTTTGGACGGCAACGACGCCGTCCCAGCACCAGCAGCAGCAACAGCAGCAGCATGAGACTCAATTCGCAAATACTCAATACTTTATGGAAAACTGAAGAAATGCTCCCAAAAACCAAATGCGGACACGGATACGGCTACGGCTATGGATTCGATTCGATTACGTTTAGATTCGCTCGAATAATGCTCCTCTAGACTTAGTTTTAGCACTTAGTAAATTACTTAACGTATTCTTGTATGGTATTAAACATAACATTTTAATGTGAATTTATATAGTACTTAGTTAAATACTTACACATTTACACATAAATATAAATATATATATATGTATACATGTATTAATATATATTATATTTATATAATACACAATAAACTTACGCATAATAATTCCGGTATTTCCATGATGACGCAGAATGACGATGATTATTAATTTATGATTTTATGCCCATTTATTGGCGCTGATAAAAAAGAATGGAGTTTAAGATTTCTATTTTCCTTTGAATAAAGTCTGCTAGAAGCAAGCGCTTGCCTGTCTTAGCTTGGCATAAATATTCATCTTCCGCAAGTTAGAAAATTGAATATACAAAAGTTTGTATTCAACTTGAATTATTCCATTTGCGGTTCACGACCGCAAAGATCTGCTTTAAAGCTATAATTATTTTTAATTTTTAATAATATTATATATTTAATATTTGAGGCTAATGTGCCGCATTCGGCTCAAACGGATAAGCACTTGGATTGGCATACAAACAGGGTGGAAAAATAGTTAACTAAGCCTTTCAATTGTGTATTGCATATACATATATTATATATTAATGGATACTTTATAGACATGATTAAAACTAGAAGAAACATTTAATGGGTGCGCGTGTGTCCGTTTAACGGAATTGCAATGTGGAGATGCGCAAACCGATGCAATCCTTGCCAATTTGACTGACCTCGCAGACGGCGCAAATATTGCCCTTGTATTGGGTATCGTAGGCGCTGCCGCAGAAGGGGCAAGTCACCTCCGGTTTGCCGCGATAGAGCGGCTTCCAGCTGATGGCGCAGATATTGAACGGATTGAACTCCTCGTACGCCAGCTGATGCTCATCGATGGGATTCACCTCGCAGGCTTGCAAGATTTTACGCACCTGCTGCGCCACCTCCGGACGCGGCGCCAGCTCCAGCAGACGGCGCGCAAATGATGCCGCCGTCTTGTAGTTCTTTAGCTTGAAGAACATGTTCAGTGCGGTGCGCAGCGTCAGTATCTGATGAACAGGCTGGAGCTTGCAGTGCGTAAAGTAGGCGGCCATCTCACACAAACGCTTCTGCTCCTCCAGCGTCGACTTGGGCATGCCCTTGCGCACGGTCTCCATTTTCAGACCCACAATATACTCCGCGCAGATCTTGAGCAGCTGCTGCGCCTCGGCTGTGTCCAGCTTGGTCTCGACCACCAGTAGCGGAATACTCATCAGTATGGAGTGGAACTTCTCGATAGCCTCGCCGAATTTGCCCGATGTGGTCAGCTGGTAGCCCGCCTGGAGGCGCGACACCAGCTCGTTCAGCTTAATGCCCAGCGCGGGACGCTGCAGCTTCGGATTGGTCTCAGCGAAATTGCGCAGTGGATGACCGCTGAGCGACTGGAGATTGGGATTAGCCGTATAGCTGGTGCGCGAGCAGGCATAGTTCTGCAGGAAGAGCGTTTTGAAGGGCTTAAAATTGACCACGCCCAGCTGATCGTTGAGCAAACGGAAGGCGCTGTTAAAGGCACCCGCCTTGACATGATCCAGCACCAGCTGCGAATTGTTGGCCCAATGCTGTGCCGGCGATTGACCCTTGTTCGGCGCCGCATAATAGTTGCTGTCCAGCGCCGAGGCCTTGATCTTGGAGGCCAGCTCAATGGGCACCACCAGATCATCATCGCCCACATCCCAGCCGCCGCCGCCGGCGCCTTCCTCCTGGGCCTCGTCATTGCTCAAGGCATCGTGCATCTCCTCATCGCCGTCATCATCCTCACCCAGGCCCAGATCTGCATCGGCTCCCCAGCCATCGCCGCCGCCATTGTGCTCGTCCAGCAGCGCAGCATCCGCATTGATGTTGAGCGCTTGGCGTGCAGTGATGCTGCCGCTGGCCCGGGTGACCATGGCACCCTCAAAGAAGCCCTTCGACACGGACAGCAGCGGCCAGTTGGTCTCCAGCTGCTGTATAGGCACAGGCGGCTGCAGCAGCTGGGCATTGGGGTTCACCTCCGGCAATGTGCTGCCCTCGGCGCTAATGGTGGCGCCCAGAGTCTCCGTCAGCTCATCCAGGCCATGGGTGGCCGCTGTGAGATAGGCCAGCGACAGCTGTCCACAATTCTTGAGAATGCTGACGCGTTCCTTGACATCGCCCAGGAGCAGGGCGCCCTGGTACTGTGCGGATACATCCTTGCGTATTTCGGCAATTTTATTCATACGCTTCAGCTTGTCCAGATTGCCGGTGATCAGATAGAGGAAGCTCAGCTTATCGAAGTTCTTGGTGCGCTGATAGCACATCTCGACCACCTGATGATTGCCCTGCAGCAAGGCGGCCTGGCCCAGCCGATCCCAGCAGTCCTTGTCGTCCAACGCTTTGGCCGCCTGCAAGGCAATCTCAATGTTGCCGCACTCCAGGGCCAAGCCGAAGCGCGTCTTCTCGTCCTTGACAAAATGCAGCGCCACCTCCGGATAGCCCTTCTGCTGCAGATACGCAATGATGCTCTGGCCCACGAGCCGGGCATTGCGCACCATGTGCAAGACCTCGTCGTATTTGCGCTGAATAAGCGCCAGCTTGAACTTGTATTCCGTGGGATCGATGTGCAGGACACGGGTGCGACACTCGCGATCCAAACAGAACACCTGATTGCCCTTGACGCGCGTCAAATAGATGGGCAGATCCAGGGTGCGTATGATGCCATGATCTCCATTGGTGATGGCATATTTGATGTGATTGCTTGTCGTATAGATGAACACGCCGGACTCGTCCCAGGCGCCCGATTTGACGCGACAATTCTCCTGCACGGTGCACAAATACTGCAGCCGGCGATCGCAGATGGTAACCGAATGCTTGCATAGCAATGCCACCAGCGACATGTCCGGCGACCAGACCACATAGCGGCACTTGGCCAGCTTGATGCTGCCGACGGAAACCAGACGCTGCACCTCGTACAGGGTCACATACTCGGGATCGCGTATGAGCAGCATGCCTGTGCCGGCATAGAAGATCTCCTCACAGAATGTGGGTATCTTTTTGGTCACCTCGTTCTTGAAGTTCTTCACCACCAGCTGCTGATTGCGATCGAGCACGGCGAAACGATTGCGTGCCACCCAAATGGCCGTAATGCCGGAGCTGCGCTTGCTGTCCGATTCATTTTGTCGGTCGCTCTCGCTATCCTTGGGGATTTGGCACAGATCATAGGTGCTGTTCTCCAGATTGTTGGTGCGCGTGCAGATCAACACCGCATTCAGTGCGGGATTGTAGGACATGCTGTAGACGGGCGACTTGCCGGGCCGCAGCTGCATCACCACCGTGTCCTTGGTCGTGGTAAAGTCCAGTTTGCGCAAGAAGCGATCCTTCACGTAGTACAACATGTTGCCATGCACCGCATAGGCAGGACGCTCACGCTCCAGCTTGAAGACCACCATGCCTGCAACCAAGTGCATCAAATGAAGAGTTGAGCTGGAAACGTAATCTTTTGCTACTCACCCGCATCGTGGCCGGCAGCAAACAGATTGAGCGTGGGGTGAGCTGCCATAATCCAGAAGCGCTCGTTGTCACGCCGGAATGTGAACAGGCACTGGCGCTTGGTCATGTCCCAGACGCGTATGCTGCGATCCTCGCCGTTCGAGATGATCAGATCCTGGCGTGGATGGAATAGCACGCAGGACACATTGTTATAATGGCCACGGCACGTGTCCACCTCCCAGGCCTTGTATTCGTTCATGCGCCACAGCTTCACCAGGCGATCATCGGCGCCGGACACAATCAGCGGCAGCGTTGGATGGAAACTGGCCCAGTTGACGCCGCGATCGTGACCCTCTAGTACATGCTTGACCACTGCATCGGCCTGGCCAAACAGATCTGTGGCGCCCGGATGGCCCTTCAGGTGCTCATCTAGTCCACCGGGACCGGGTGCCACATTCTTTTTACGCAGTCCGGATATGTCCCAAACACGCACCGTCTGATCCAGCGAGGCGGACACAATTTGATCCTCTGTCGGATGGAATTGGGCGCACATCACATAATGATTGTGACCGGTGAGCACACAGATGCAGTTGCGCGACTGCCAGTTCCAGATGCGTATGGTCTGATCATCGGAGGCGCTCAAGATCCACGGATACTCGTGATGAAAAGCGACTGTGCGTACATAATCCAAATGCGCTAGCAGCGTGAAAATGCAGCGACGCTGTTTATAGTTCCACACCTTGATCTTGTAGTCATCTCCGCCGGACACAAACAGCGGCATCTGTTGATGAAAGGCCACACTACGCACGGGTCCGTCATGCTCATCGAACTTCTCCAGCAAAGTGTGCATGCGATAGTCCCACAGCTGGATGACGCCGCTGTGCAGACTGGTCAGGATCCAGGGGCGTTTTGGGTGAAACGAGAGACCCTTGACGCGAGCCGACTTCGACTCGAAATTGGTCAACATGTTGGCAAAGTCTTTTGTTTTTCCTGCTGCCGTGGCGATGTCTCAGTTGTAGTCGGCTTTTCCTTAACGTACACTTAAACAGCCTGTGGCACGTACTTTTCTGTGTAAAGTTATACAAAAACACTCGTTAGTATTTAGAGCACGATATTAATTAATAAATAAACATATACAAGCAATTTATTTAACTATTTCACGCAAAAACACACACCAATTATACGAAATTTTCAAGTGACACGTCAATTGTCTTCTTCTTTTCTTCTTCACTGCCGGGGCTGCCAACTCACGAGAAAAACAGCTGCACCTATCGATAACTGCTATTCGATAGCAAATACATTTATCAAATATCGATACGATATTCGCACAATTTTGTTTACAATTTTGTGGTTTGTAAAATGTAAAAATAAATTGAAAACAAAATGACGCTGGCACATCGCGCGCTCTTTACATGGTTCATTGTTTTGGTGTTCCTAATACTGCTCTGCTTGCGGCTAGATCCTCGCACCACCTGGAACTGGTTTGTCACCTTCACGCCGCTCTGGTTCTTCGACTGCATTTTAATTATTTACGTGCTAATCAAATTTATACGCAAATGGCGCAACCTGAACCGCCTGACTGATCTGCTGTCCCTCTACAAATGGAACATTGCCGGCGTGCTGCTAACAATAACGTCCCAGGTAATGATATGCATGACCCTGGAGTATCCACAGCAGATACCCATCTATGTGACCATGGCGCCGCTCATCCTGCTGCTCTCCACGGCCATTGTCTATGTGGGCGGAAAGCTGAGGCGGCGCGAAGGCTGGCTGCATTGAAAGGAACACAGCAACATGCTACACTTATCTCTATATATATTTATGTATTAAGTCTAAATGTAATTCACATTAAAAATGTAAACAAAAAATGCCAACGATTGCCTAAAAGCCGTATTTGCTTTGTGTGGCGCGACGGGTTTGCCTATTGGCCGACCACATGGCCTGCAGCTCGGCCTCGTTGGCCTTGGCCTTGTGGGCCAAGTAGGTGATTTGATGCTTGCGCCTTGTGCCCGCCACGGGCTCCTCGTCCGTCAGCACGCCCGTTGGCTGGAATGTGGTGGCCGATGCCAATGCCGTGCGCATCCATTCCTCACGATCGGGCAGCACTTGAGAGCCGACAATGTCAATCACCTGCATTTCCTTGGCCTCCTTGCGTCGCCGTTTGGCATTCTTGCCCACCAGCGCATCCATGGCCTCTGTGTTCAATTGCTGTTCCTGGTAACGCTGCTGTGCCTGTCGCAGCTCCTCCGCTTGCAGGTGTGCCTCCTCCGTCTGCTCGTCGGCAGCCTGACGCTTTGTCTGTTCCGACGACAAGTATTTGTGGCTAGCCTCAACCATTTTGGCTGCTCGCTTGGCCACCAGGGCACTGATCTCGTTGCTGCTCACCTCCGGCAGCTGCTGCTTGCTGTTCAGCGAAAAGAAGTCACCAGCATTATCCATATCCTCGTCGTCTTCACTGTCGCTGACACTGACCAGCGGCGCAGTCGGCTTGGCACTGTTGCGGCTCTTTGAATGCTTGCCGGGCGGCGCTTTAAGGCCATCAACTGCTTCGGTATTGTGTGCGGCGCGTCGTTGTTTAACAGTATCCGGCACGAAAGCTGGCGCTGCATTGGCTTGTTGGGCAGTATTACTGGCCTTCGATGCAGGCGGCGGACCATTGTACTCCGGTTTGGCTGCCACGGGCTCAGATTTTCTGGCGAAATCCCGCTCAGACTTAGCCTGCGGCAAAATGCTCAGCAAGCCGCAACCCTTTGTGGACTTGACATGCGTATGCCTGCCATTTAGCTTCGCCGCCTGCTCCTTGTCCACGTCGGCGAACTCCCTCAGCGAAGGTATGCTGATCTTAACGCGTCCCCTGACAGCAGCTGCAGGCGCCGCTTCGCTACCTGCGGGCGGCACTGCCTTTTTGTGCAAAAACTCATCGTCCAATTCTTCGATGATAGCTGCTGTTTTCACAGAATGCCTCGGCATGGGCAGCTTGGCAAATGCCTGGGTCACATGCTCATCTGCCTGCTGCGCGCCATCCTCCGCGTCTGGCGTTGGCGCAGCGGCTACTTTGGGCTTGGGTAGGGCTAGCGCTAGCCGACCAATACTGGTTGGCCTTAACTCCTGTAAAGACACTTCCTGCGGTATAAAGTCGTCATCGTCATCGCTAATATGTCCATTGCTTGCATTTGTTTTCCGTTCGGTTGCCCCGTTTTGGATGGCTGTTGGTGGCTTTAGTAACTGCACTTGTATGCCCGCAGAGTCTTCCTCAATATCCGATTCCTCATCACTACTCGCAGCGTATGCAACCAGCGACATAGTTAAATTAAAATTCTTTTAATGCTCAGCGAAATTCACAAATTTTGATATGCGTTGCAAATGTTTCTTAATATAAAATGTCAGCTGTTCGTTGAAACGGGGCACCCTGTGTCAAGTGTTGCCACAATTTGAGCGATGTTGTTGGCAACATGCTGCTGGCAGGGTAATAAAACAGTATGGCAATGCCAGGCAAATGGTCTGTTAAAATTTGAAAATTTCATCAAACCTCTTAATTGGAAACTATTTGTAGAAGTTTAAATACCTGGCAGCAGGTAGTGCGGAATATTTAATTATGACAGTAGCTGCAGCTGTTTAAGCTGATCATAAAACTATAAAATGTAGGTAAATATCGCTTAACTTGCCCATATAAATAACATCCTCGAGTTAACCAAGCATCAGTATGAACTTGCGCATCGAGCTGTTAAGAGATCCGAACATGCATCATCATCAGAATCTTGGAGATGCGGCTGCCTTGACGGGCATGATGCCGCCGTACGAGACAATGGCTCTCTACGAGCAACCGAAGCCGCGTTTCATATTCAAAATGCCGCGCGTTGTGCCAAATCAGAAATCCAAATACGAGTTGGATGAGCTATTCCGACGACTCAGCCGGGAGAGCGAGGTGCGCTACACCGGCTACCGAGGACGGGCCATTGACGAGCGTCGCATGCGTTTTGTCACCGACTGTCGCAAGGGTTATGCAGAGCTCTCATTCGTGCCCACGGGCACCAATCTGCAGCTGTACTTCAATGCCAATCATAATCCGTATGCCCAGGAGCAGGAGTGCGATTTTGACAAGGAGCGCGGCAAGGTACACTTGCGCTCCAGTTTCATAATGAATGGGGTTTGTGTGCGTTTCCGTGGCTGGTTGGATTTGGAACGTTTAGATGGCGTCGCCTGTCTGGATTTTGATCAAGCACGGGCTCAGCAAGAGGATGCACAGCTGAGCGAGCAAATTGAGAGCTATAATCAACGTATGGCCGACTCGAAGCGTATTTATGCGCATACGCCTCCACAGGATACTATACGGCGCGGCCCACCGGGTCCGGGACCAGTTACTGGACCGCCAATGGGCTGGTAAAACTAGCCTGCTGGATTCAAACTAATATAAATGTTTGTAAATTGAGATTTAGTCTTATAAAATAAAAAACTATTTACATTGAGCGAAAAAGGACGATGCTTCGGAGTCCCAAGGACTTGCTGTGCGACTTCTAATGCATAGAAGCATGAGAATTATTATCAGGTTGAAATTGGCGCAATTTCAGTACAACATGTATTTTTAACATTTTTTTGATCCGGCAACGCCGCATAATTAAATCTAGCTATCGATATACAAAAATGGCTTATATCGCTTCAAGTGTCAGTGCAACTCTGGGCTTCAATTCTATGAAGCTTTCAATTTGTGCATTTGTGAATTCCCCTGAGTCACGTTAATAGCGATCCGTGGAAAAGTCAAGTATAGAAATATGTCTTCAGAGGACCAAGGCAGTTATACAAAATCGGTTGGCCAACGAATTTGTTACACATGGACACTCAAACTGAATGCATTAACTGACCTAAGGTCTAAACGTGTTTCAAGGCACTTTCCAGATTATATGGAAAATATTACCCAGTTTTATTTAGAAGCCTTTTGGGAGGGAGATTACCATTATGGAAATATGTATGTATCCCTACGAACTGTTTGCAAAAGTGACTGTATAAATAAAACCAAATACGTCAGCATTAATATATTAAATCGTGAGAAAAAAAAATCCGAACTTCTTAAATTATCTGATGATTGGAAAATTAATATGGGAAATATGCCTCCGAATTGCTATTTGGTTAATAACACACTTACAATAATCTGTGAGATCTTTGTGATGAGCCCCGTAGACAAGATTATGCCAATCGAAGTTCCCAAATGCAAATTACTCGAAGATTTGGCTGCGTTGTTCGATACAAAGAAAAACTCAGATGTAACAATGTGACAAAGGACCAACAAGAGATACCAGCCCACAAGGCCATCCTAACAGGTAAAAATAACAGGTATAATTAAATGAAATCCGTTGCCAACAAATGCAATGTTCGCAGCACGCAGCGAAGTCTTTGCGGCCATGTTTAAGCATCCAATGGAGGAGAATCGCTGGAATTGTGTTACGATAAACGACTTCGATCACGACGTTCTCATGGAAATGCTGCGTTTCATGTACACGGGAGAGGCACCCAACTTGGCAGACATGGTTGAGAATCTGCTGGCAGCTGCTGAGAAGTACGGGCTGGACAGACTAAAGGCAATGTGCTTGAAATACTTAAGCGATAAGCTGTCCATTGAAACAGCTGCCATCACGTTAAAGTTAGCCGATCTTTATAATGTGAAAGATCTTCAACTCAATTCAGTTCAGTTTATTAGAAATCATGCAGCAAGTGTAGCTAATACGGCCAACTGGCAGAATTTGATTACAACAGATAAATATTTAATATTAAATGCATTTTGTGAGCCAAAAATTTTGTTGCAATTAAATGACGAATCCAAAAATGAGACTTAAATGTTATCACATGAATTAATTTACAAATTGAAAAAGCCTTTCCCCTTTCTTAAAGAAAAGGGCTTTTTACTTGAATCAAATCTCAACATTATTCACATCCATCTGTTATCATACAAATGTTCTATAAACAATTTTGAATATCTTTAGTTAACCTTGACATGTTTATTATGTTGGAGTAAAAATAAAATGTATTAGAATAAGTAGAAAGTCTTGTTTTGAAGAATATCCAACTTAAAAAAGTTCGTTTTACTAGTTTTTTGTCACCTTCAGTTTAGGAAATCTTCATTAATTTAAGTTCCAAATATTGGGGAACTTTATGTGAGTGTTGAAGGTGTTTTTGCAGCCCTGTTGTCATTGCTTCATAAGGGTTGATGCTCGGGGTCTTTGGCCTTAATTACACCAACTCCCAATGGCCACCACCCCAAAACTCAACCCAGCTGTTACCTCTCCCTCTCTCTATCTCTGTCTCAGCGGTTTTGGTCTGAGGGCGCTTTTTTTTGCAGAGAGCCCAACATAACAACCCATTTGCCGCTCTCTCTCTCTCTCTCTCCCTCTCACCTGATCTCGGCAGCAGTTACGAGAGAGCATATCGATTTTCTGGCATTCGGATGCTGCTGAAAGAAACTTTGCAACTGCGTCGACGGTTCGATTTGTTTTTCAGCCACAGTCAGAGTCTCAGTCTCATTTCGAACGCGTCTGTGCGGGCATATAGAAGAGAGATAAACAGGCAGACCGACTGGGAAGGCGAAACAGAAACAATTTTCATAAAATTATACATACCACAAAGTGTTTTAGCACAAACATTCAAAAAATTTTGTATAATTTTTGTGTTTTGTTCGTTGTTTTTCGTACTTTTGCTGCGTTCACGAACACAAAAAAAAAAATAATAAAAAAAAAAAGCTGCGACGTGCGCTAAAATTAGCGACCGGTGTATTATAGGGTGATGTATGCTGTATGAGTCCCAGTCCCAACTGGCTACGCCCCGCCCCTCAGCCGCCTGGGCCCCCGCCCCCCAGCCGCCTCTGAGCAGAGAAGCGCGCCCCAAATTGCTGACATTTGTGAATTATACATATTTCAAATAGTATTTGTGCAAATGATGTGCTCAAGATTGCCAGCAATCGAGTAAACATAGCAAAATTATAATAAATATTTGGAAGAGCAGCACAAAAACGTGAAGTGAAAAATCAATCGATACGCGTGGAAAACAAGGACTATTGACACAAAATGCCAGCCTCAAATACGATTGTGCTGAGGAGTCTATCCATATTGTTGGGCCTGTTCTTCATATTTGTGGGCACGCTCAAGCTGACGCCGCACATCAGCAAGGATCTGTACAAGGATCTGGTGAGTGAAAAATCGATGCACATCGTTTGTTTACTGCACCTCCTATCGATAGCTAGTTGTTAAGTGTTGTTGGTAAACTAACAAAAGAGTGTTAGACAATTATTGCAGGTCTTAGAGTTAGGCTTTAGCAGAGAGGCGAATAAAGAGAGAGAGCAAAGAAGTATATAACGGCTTGCGTCGGCTTTTCGGGAGCGCCATCGCTCTCTCATTGATTTTTCGCTGCGAGAGAAAAAACAAAAAAAAAAAAAACAAAACAACCACCATTCCAAAAGAAAATACAATTTCACATTGTTATCCTGCCAATCGGCGCTCTTATGTAAGTGGGTCATCGCATTTTCTTTTAGTAAATACAAAAGCTGAACTATATTTTATACGAATCGCATTTAAGCAGGAGACAAGGGTTTGAATACCCGGCTCGTGTGGGGATAATATTTTTTTTTAAGCTTCGAAGTATATCGAAAACTGATAATAAACATAAAACTATTTTCGCAAATCACATGTACGGAAATTCTTATAAATATGAATAATATACATATACAATTAGTTGCACCATTGAACTCGACCTCGTCAATGCCAGGCATTAGCCTTCACAAATACAAATACACAAATACGCAATGATCTTCAGGAATATACACATACATATGTATATGTGTATGTATATCTATACATATGAGCACGCAAATAAGTTTTTACTTTCCAACACTTTGCACAAGTATTTCTTTTTTTTTTCTATGACGGAAACTATGCAGAGCGCACTCTGGACTACAAATTGTTTATATATTTCATATATATTCTATGATAAAGAAAAAGTGTGTTCGCGTGGGCGAACATTTTGTTTTGTAATTTATGTTTGTTTGCACATGAACTTACCCGGCGTTGTTCGGCTCACTGATTTCTAACGGAGCTAAGCTCTTGTGTATTATTTTGCTATAAACAATGTCCCGTTCTTTTCGCTATATGAAGCAATATAATTAAACGAATTTATCTATTGGCATTGATACCGCGCAATTAAACTTTCAACACGAGTTTTCTTGGCTTCTTGGTAAGGTATTTAATTTAGAAATAAATATGTATGTATGCATATAGCCAAGCGCTGTTGCAATGCCGAAACATTTATAATTACAGCATCGCGCATTAAAGGCACTTGGCAAATGCCAAACAAAATGTGAGTGTGTATGACAAACACGTTTGGCTTTCCTTTTTATTTATTTAAAAATAAACATATTGCCCGTGCCCAATCACAGGGCGCGTCTCGAGTACTTGGAATGGAATGGGAATACTTGCCTCGGTAAATAAGTTATCAGGCAATTATTAACATGGCAGACAAAGATTCAAGTCCTAGTTTGGTGGCCAATTATATATATATATATATTTTTTGGTTATATAGATGAAATTTAAAAGTCAAATTCCATTCAAGCTAGAATAAGAAGGTTTCTATACACTTTACTTGATATGGTGAAAAAAAAAACAACAACAAATTAGTGTAACCAAACTTATCAAAGACAAAAACCTTAAAATGTATCAGTTTCTGTGCTGCCAGATCGCCACATATTATTTTCAATTAAATTAAATAAAATGTAATTTTAATTTAGCTTTAATTTTCCATTGCAGCGCACAGAGTATGTGAAATATGCCAAGGTATTTCCATTGACGGCGCTGTTCGGCGTAAAAATACCCTCGAAATGGTATAGACGAACCGTTGGCATACTGGAAATTGTTTGCGGCCTGGCCATGGCCCTAATACCCTATCGTAAGTACAGCAATTGGATTTAGATAATTATTTAGATAATCCAAAGCTCGTTTAATCACAGATAAAATCAAGAATGTGGCGAATGTGCTGCTGTTGCTGCTGATGCTATTGGGCATCTATCAGCATTGGATGGTCAGTGATCCGTTCGAGCGCTCCGGACCCGCGCTGGTGTTCACGTTCATGCTGGGCGGCCGTTTGGTTGTCTGGTATCAGACCAGCCGCAAGGAGGCAGCCGAACTGGCGTCGGTCAATCCGCCGCAAGCGAATGGCCTCAAACAGGAATAAATGCTGCCGGAGAGTACGAGAACATATTTAGTCGAATCTAAAAAAAGAATCAACTTATAGTCGCACCTGTAAACAGCTTTGTTTTAGCACAATTAGTTGAATATCGCGAGCTCAAATTGGCGCCCTTAAATACAATATACATACATATATATACATATTAACGAAATAACACACTCATTTCTAGTTATAAATTAAATGAACAATTTTTATAGAGTAAACGAAATTGAAATTGGAGTGTTTTTCTTTTTAAGTTTTTTTTTTTTCACTTTGGTGCCAAATAATAGAATACATACTCGTACAATATATATATATAAAGAAATAATATACACATAAATTAATTGCGAAAGTGTTCAAGTTATAAATTAATAAACGAGTTAGAGTATATAGCAATAAAGACAAAGACCAGAATAATACAAAAACATAAATAAATCCCTTCAAAAAACACGGCACTCGTGTTGTTGTTGTCGCAGCCAACAATGCCTATGACATTTTAGCAACAATTTTAATAAATTTTTGAATAACTCATATTCAATACATAATGTTTCAACAATTATTCAACATCGGCCGTTGGTTGTCGTTTTTGTTTTCGTAAGCAGCTTGCAATTGCCAGCAAATAGTTGAGATTATTAAATATGCGCGTGCTCCAAGCTTTAACTGGATTCAACTGTGTGGGATTAGTGTCTTATTTGCGTATCTATTCGGAACCTGTGCTCAGCAGCTTCAGCGCCTTCTGCAGATACTCCACCGCGCTCTTCACATCGTCATAGTTGAGCGAGCTGCCCGCATATTTGCAATACTTTTGTGCGGTTATCATTTGTTCAGCGGTTATTTGGACGCCGGCAACTGGGACAATGGGCGTGTAAATGGCTGCGTTTGGCTGCTCTGTGGGCACATATGGCTCAAAGCCACCGGGCTTCTCCTCATCCACTGGTGGACTCGGCAATTTGCTTGGATTCTGCAACACCTCCTCGGCTGTGGGCGGTGTTACTTGTGGTGCTGGGGGCGTAGATGGCGTAACGGGCTCCACATTTTCGGACTTGAATTCAGCAGCTCCATCTTCGGTCGGCGTTACGTTAGAAGCGCCATCATTGCTGCCTCCAGCTAGATTATCGCCAGCCAGCTCCGAAGATTCGTCGTCGGGAAAGGGACCAGGTATCGGGGTTTCGCCATTCTTCAGGCAATTGTGTATATAGGCGGCCTTGTACTTGGCGTACTTGCGATTGTGCAGCGCCTCCTCGCTCAGCTCACCAAAGGTAAGCAGTATGTCATAGAGCACACCGCTGGAATAATACGCCTTGACGACGTTTCTGCAAATACAGCAAGGATTAGAGACGGTGGAATGAGTTAATAAGTGAACTTTCACTTACTTGCCAAAGTTCTCCTCGCGATCCTGCTTGTCGGCATAGAGAAACAGCTTGAGAGCATAGTTCTCAATGTGTGCCTGAGCAGCAATGTCGTTGGTCAGCGCCTCGTTGTCGGCATGTTGCTTCTTCATTTGCTCCAACCAATCCATAATAGCTGTTGGCCGCATCAAAACAAACGCAAACAATGGATGAGTCATAGTTCTGAAGAATATGTATTTAGGCACGTAATCTCAATATGCGCTTACCTAGCAGCAGTTTAGTCTCTTCGGCGCTCTGTGTAGATGCCTTTAGGCCAACTTGCAGCGCACTTTGTAATTAATTAAACAAAAAATTGTTATTTCGAGTTTTCTTTGGAACGTAAGGACTGGGATTTACTTACTAGAGTCTTGCCCAGTAGGCTATGACAACGTCACGCGAATCGTGCTCCTGCGCCAACTTCAGAAAATGTTGTATGGACTTCAATGTCGGCGGACATGGTGGAAACTCCATCTTTGAAGTGCAAATAAAATTGATTTCCAAAAAATTCTATGAAATTCCAATGAACGCAGTAGAATTTATTGTGATTGACAGTGTTGCCTTATAAAGACAAAAGATTTATTTACAAAAACAGTGCGACCGTTTGACGTAAATATTATCAGACTTAAGCATTTGGCAACACTGGCAGCGAATGGCTTACCCAAAGCAACTACAGGTAAAATTACTCAGTCTTTAAACACCGCTGCTACCAAACGGTTAGTAGTTCAGATGGTCAATACATTATTGTCGTATGATGTTATCAATATTAATTGCCGTACTTTGCACTTTAACCCACATCTTATATATGCAGCAAACTAAACTTTTAATTACACTTTATCCCTAACAGCTGCAATATGGCAATTTCTAAGCCGCTGTACTCGCTCTTCGGCAGCTATTTGGAGCAGCTTTTCAATCATCCCGTGCGCACGAAATCCTTAACAGCGTAAGTAGAGAGGAGGGGCTATCTTCACTTATCAGCATTTAACTAAATTTCCGGCAGCTGCTTCTTGGCCACCTCGGCGAATGTCACCTCCCAGCGGCTGGCGGGCGCCAAGAAATTGAACCAGCACAGCGTCTTTGCGTATGGTCTGTTTGGCCTCCTCTTTGGAGGCACTGTTCCGCATTATTTCTATCAAACTGTGGAGCGATTGTTCAGTCATGATTTACGCTTTAGGAAGTTCTTTCTGTTCCTGTCGGAGCGGTTAACGTTTGCTCCGTTTTATCAGCTGCTTTCACTGTATTTCCTTTCGATATTCGAGGTGAGTCTCTTGATTTATGAGCCGTGAACTGTTTCAAGCATTCTTCTTCCTTCTGGCAGGGCAAATCGCACAGCACCGCAGTTGAGAACCTGCAGAAGCTCTACTGGCCCGTGTTGCGCGCCAACTGGCAGTACCTGTCGCTACTTGTCTATCTGAATATAGCCTATGTGCCGCCCATGTTCCGTACACTGACCACGGGCATCATTTCCTTCATCTGGGTCGTCTATATGGCACAGAAGCGTCGCCGCTTCCAGGAAAAACAAGCAGCTGCCAGGTCCACATAGACATAGCATTCCATGGCACCCATCTTTTGCTATCTATAACTATGTATATGCATATATATTAACACGCTCAGTGCAGATTACGCTGGACTCTTTTTTTAAACGCTTTATCTGGCGTCTCAAAGGTTTCGAACCGGGAACAATAATTGCTTTAACTGTTTAAGTAAATTGAAACTATATATACATGTGTACAGTACACTTAAGATTAGAGAGAAATAAGAACACCTTACGGCCTTGTAAATTTGAAATACCTTAATTGTTTTTTATCCTATGTACAATGAAATTAATGCATTTGAAATGGCAACAAATAATATTTATTTAAAAGCTAGCGAGTAATCCAATTATATTCGAGTATTGTTGGCCTTATATCATGGCCGTGTGTCTACAATATCATTTAGCTAATAAATTCAAAGAAATGGCCTAAATCAAACTTTACAACTTAATCTCGAAGGGAATGTGTCTAAAAAAGAATTCTCTTAGCTTAAGTATCATATAGGGCATGGTTTAGTTTTGCCTATTGCGACTATATATATATAACTGACTAGGGTTGGGGGGGTTTCCGGCTGACTTACAGTTCGCCGCACATTTTGCGCAGCGAATCTGTTAACACTCAGAAGGCTATTGCCGATGGACTTCGACTGTTGTGCATCGGCGTGCCGGCGATGGGTGTGCAGGGCGAGCTGGCGCGACTGAAGCAGCTGGAGCAGCAACTGGAGGCATCGTTGTCCACATGATCATGATCGCCATCGCCGTTGTTAATACCCTCTCCGGACGCCTTGTGGTGATGATAGGGTATCGGCCGCTTGCGCGCGCTGCAAACAACAATAAATGACAAGATTAGATAGCGAACATGTTTTGCATAGAAACTACAATAAAAAAATGTTATATGGTTAAAACTTACCAAACTGAAAAATTGCAATCAACAGAAATCATAAACTAAATCCTTTTCGGAAAAAAAATATAAAGAAAAATTATATAAAACTTGGCATTGACATAATTTATTGTGCATACAAACAAAAGCCGTTTGCTTGAACTGAATCGAAAAAAAAATAAAGTTTTTATCATGAAAATACAAATACAATTTAACACAATGGCAAATGAACAAAAATAATATTGCATTTAGAAAGCGAATTTGTTAAGAAATTTAAATTAAATGATAATTCCTGAGTCTGAGCTGTAAGAAAGGAAAATAGTTAATCAAATAAATCGTAAATCAGGTGCTCTACAGAATTTTCGGGCATTGGAAATGAAGATTGCAACTCAAGCGGATAACCTGCTAACGTCTGGTGCTGCGGGGTGAGCGACGGCTACAAAAATCAATTAAATAAATAATTAATTTATTGAATAAAGTAAATTGATTAAAATCAAGAAATCAAAGTTGAACAAAAACCTTGCAGAGTTCAGTTGTCGAATATAATCAGAATAGTTGCAATAGCAACAGAGATATATATATATATATATATATATATATATATATATATACTCTTTGGAGTCGAAGATATATTCCTCCTTTCGTGTCAAATCTATAGCCTTACAAATTATAATAAATTAAATCCCACTCTGCAAGGTTTTGTCGTAAAGAAATTCAAATACGTTGAAAAAAGATAAAAATTCTCCTTCGATTTTGTTCAGTTGGGACTACCTAGTTATGCGGCGTCTGTCCAAGAAGCTGGGTGAGCCGCGGCGTCGCGGTATAGAGGGTGAACGTGAGCCGGATTGTGATGTGCCAGAGCCGCTGCTCGAGGAGCTGCCGGAGCTGCTGCGCGACGAGCAGCTGGAGCGGGACGAATGCGAGCCGGAGCGCGATCTGGAGCTGCACGAGCCGCTGCGACTGCTCGACGAGCTGTACCGACTGCAGGGGAATACATAAGGATTAGTTATGGGCTCTACAATTCTATGGATTGCTTGAACTTACGATCTGGAGCGACTGCTGGAGCGATGGCGATGCCGACTGTTGCTCGTGCGCCGTTTGCCGCGGCTGTGATCGCTGCGCCGCGACCGGCTGCGACTGCGTCGTGCGGCGCTCTCCGCTGCGGCGACCGTTGCCGTCGATACCTTGGAAACGATGGCGTCCACCAGTGTGCTGTCCGCTAGTGCCGCAACTAAGGGCTGTGGATCGTGAATTTTGAACGGTTTTATAACAATTTTCGGTTTCTGTTGCTGATGATGATGATGATGATAGCTAATACTATTGGCGGCCACCGCTGCGGCCGCTGCAGCCGCATTGAAGCCACGCCCATGCTGCGACGGATGCGAGCCAAGCAGCGCCAGGCCCGCTGCAGCGGCAGCAGCAGCCGCACCGCCAGCACCACCACCAGCACCACTCAATGACAACAGACCCGCCGCATGGCGGCCATGATGATGATGATGCACATGATGGCCACCGGCGGCGGCGGCTGCAGCGGCAGCGGCTGCCAGCAGCGCATGCTGCGAACCATGCCCATAGAGATTTGGATTGTACATGCTAAGACCACGCTGATGCTGCTGCTGATCCCGCCGGCTGAGCAGCGGCGGCTGCAGCCCATTGTTATTATGCTGATTCTTGCAGATATTATAATGGGTGGCGGTCAGCAGGGGGCCATGATTCAAACGATTCGTTGTGCGATTATAGGTGCCGGGCGTGCCGGCCAGAAAGGGCAGCGCATTGTTCGGATTGTTGTGATTAGTATGAGGAACAGCACCAGGCGGAAGATGACCAACACCACATGCATGATTATTGTTATTGTTATTGTTAGTATTGTGTCTACTGTTGGGATTGTTATTCAGCGTGCGATTGTGAAAGACGCGCTTCGTCTGATGTTGGGGTCTATGATTAAATTTGGCTATTGTTGTTGTTGGGTTAAATGTTGTTGTTGTTGCTGTTGCTGTTGCCGCTGCTGTTGTTGTTGTTGTTGTCGTTGTTATTGCTGTTGTCGGGACTGCTGCGCCACCATTTGCAGCCACTTGGGGCGCCTTGCAAATGGGCGGCGTATTTGTGTCCCTTTTTTGCGGCTCGGCGGCGACCATCGGCTGCTCGAGCGCCTCTCCAGCTGCTGCTGCTGCTGCAGGCGGCGGCGGCGGCGTTGTTGTTGTTGTCGTCGCGGTTATTGTTGTCGTGGTTATTGTTGTAGTTGTTGTTGCCGTTGTCAGTGGGTTAATTAAAGCGTTTACATTGTTAGCAACAAGAAATTCACTGAGCGAATTACGTTTGGTGGCCAGCACCAGCATAGATTCGCCGCCACTTACTTCGCTGCCCTCCGCCTCCTTGCCTGCATCTCCATTCTTCTCCATTGTGCGGATTTTTTGCTTCGCCTTGGCCGCAATGCCGGACTTAAGCTGTTCGAGCATGCGCAGCTCCTGCAGCTCTTCGCGCTCCCTTTTGCTCTGCTGATAATCGTCGAGTGCTGCCGCCGCAGAGCTTGTCTCCGGCTCGCTGCCGCCATCGTCACTTTGGGCGCGCAGGCGGACCACGGGCGCTGGCTTTGTCGACTGCTGCCGTTTCTTGTCCTGGACAATGTCCTGATAGCGCTCGGGATTGTGCTGGGCTGGCGAATAATGCAGCTCTGATGAATTGGAGCTGCCCGAACGACGTTTGCTCTGTCTTGGACTCGGCGTATTGCCCTTGTCCTTCTCTTTCTCTTTCTCTCTCTCCTTCTCCTTTTTCGACGACCTGGGCTTGGTCGGCGTGCCCGAGCGCTCGCGCTTCACGTGGCTGCTCTTGGTACGCTCTCGTTTGGGGCTGCTTGGCTCACGCTTTAGCTGCTCCGGCGGCGTTTGGCTGCGCCTGCGCTGCTTGCGGGGCGTAGGTGTGCCCGGTTCGCTGTGCGAGGAGCTGCTGCTGCTGGAGCTGTCCGACGAGGAGCTCGAACTGGATGCGGCGCGCTTGCGTTTCGTCTGCTCGAGCGCCACCATCACCGACTTGGTGCCCAATATATCGTTGACAGTGTCCTCGGCCGCCTTGAAGGGATTGAATGCGGGCACCGCTGCACTTGACGTCTTCTTGGGCGGCACCAGCAGCTCCGGCTGCCTAACGACTGTCGGCGAGGGCGTGCGCTGCTTTTTAGGCGAGCGGGAACGGGAGCGCGAATGGCGACCCAATTTACGCTCCTCGCCGCGTTTCGTCGTTTGGGAAGCCGAGCGACGTTCACGACGTCGCTCTTTGCTACGCTCGCGCCCCTGTCCGCGCTCCTTGGCTACCTCGCCCTGACGTGGTCGCTCCTTCGACTTTTGCCGCTCCTTGGAGCGCTGTCTGTCCTTTGAGCGCAGTCGCTCCTTTGAGCGCTGTCGTTCCTTGGAACGCTGTACTCTCTCCTTTGAACGCTGTCGCTCTTTGGAGCGTTCCTTGACCTTGGATCTCTGTCGCTCTGCGGAGCGTTCTTTCTGCCTCTCCTTGGAACGCACTCTCTCCTTTGATCTCTGCCTTTCCTTGGAGCGCACTCTCTCCTTTGATCGTAGTCTCTCCTTGGAACGCTGTCGTTCTTTGGAGCGCGGCCTCTCTACGGAGCGCTGTCTCTCCTTGGAGCGATGTCTATCCTTGGAGCGTGGTTTCTCCTTGGAGCGTAGTCTCTCCTTGGATCGCAGTCTCTCTTTGGAGCGTTGTCTCTCTTTCGAGCGCGGTCTCTCCTTGGAGCGCTGCCTCTCCTTTGGACGCTCCTTTGATCTTTGGCGTTCCTTTGACTTTTGTCGCTCCTTCGATCTGGCTCTATCCTTGGACTTTTGGCGCTCTTTGCCCAGCGACCGTTGCCGCTCCTTTGATCTTTGTCGCTCGCTGCGCCTCTCCTTGGAGCGCTTGCGCTCCTTCGAGCCTGCTCTCTGCTTTGAACGTTGTCGTTCTTTGGAGCGTTGCCTTTCAGTCTCGCGTCGCGGCGGTGTTCGCGTCGGTCGTTCCTTCGATTTGTGACGGCGACTTGCGCTGTGCTCCCGTTTCTCCGTCGAGGAGTCGTTGCGACGCGACTTGTTGTCCTTGCGTCGCTCTGGCGAACGGCTGCGAAACGGATTCTCCGGCGTCGTGCCATTGTCCGCAACAGCCGCGCGTGATTTACCCGACTTTTTATCCTTGGGCGCGGGAGAGCTGAGAAAATGTTGTTTTGTTTAGTGAGCAAATTGATAAAGATATTGGATGGGAACCTACTTGGAACGTGCCGAGTCCGTGGAGCTGGCACGTGCTCGTTGATTCTTCTTGAGCTTTTTGTCGCGTTTCTTCTGCATAATAAAAGATTGAGAATTATTAACAAGAGGCACAGCTAACGGCAACAAAGTCTAACTGTTAGCAATATATATTATATAGATATAGTTTTCATTCAGTATATGATCATGATCATGATATATAAATATGTACGTATATCTCATATGAAAGCTCGCCTTGCATATTTGATTGTCTCTGTGTTCGAAAGACTTCGATTTCGGTAACGATTTTTCGGGCTGAAAAAACATATTTGGCATAAGAGATTGAACTTATTTTGGATTGCAGATAGCAATTGATCGATTCGCGCAATTCTATATATGCTATATATATATGTATAATATGTTAAAGAAAACAGACAAATGAAAGTACTTACAAAACTACAAGAGAGCCTTTGAAAGCTATCCTATATCAATGAAGCGCCAAGGGTTTTTATAAACAAAATATAAATTTTCTTTTTCGTTTCTTCAAAATTACTTTGTAAATTTAATTTGATTTAATTGAATTCGTTTTTTTTTGTTTTTTCTACATAGAAATCAAATGTTTACGAAAGGAAAAAAAAAAAACAGTTAAAAACTATGCACAAAATCAAATTTATAGAAAAACTTATAAATTGGGCTTGTGCAGAGCTCTATATAAAATGTACTTTCGACTAGCTAAAAGAAATAAAAGTTTAAATTAAACATAAATTTCTAAATAAATAAACAATTTATAAAACTAGTTTGTGTATGCGTTTGAAGCCTTTTTTTTACCTTTTACAATATTTGTGGGGTGATTTTTTGATTTTTGGCATTATATATATTTCTTTTTTTTTTTCATTTTTCTTTTGGATTTGTACGAATTAATTTTTGGTATGCTTTATTATTTATGTGGCTGGTAATAGTTTTATATGCAGGTCTTAATTATTGTTGTTGTTGTTTTTGTTTTAGTAAATGTTTCATTTTTTTTGGTGGAAAAAAGAAGTAAATAAGCAAGAGAAGAAATGGCGTATGTTAAATATTTGGTGAACAATTGAGAAACAACGAAAAACGATAAAGTCAATCGATTTATCATTAGGCATTATATATAGTATATATATATATATATATATAGAGAGAGAGAAACAATTATATTCATTTAGACATAATTCGTATTACAAACAAGTTTCATCAGATGATTTTATACAATAGAGAAAAATGTTATATATATTATATATATGATATAGAGTTAGTATGTGTAGAGGGGGGTTAAGTTTTGATTAGAATTAGAATTAGAATTCATTAGAGGTTTTAATCGTGATACATTATGAATTAGCTCAGCACATGCACTGCTCAGGCAATTACCGGGTTTTATGGACATTTCGAATCCCGAAACATTTCGTTTAAATGCGTTTTCTTTTCACTTTCTGTCTAATGCTAATGCGATATGCATGTGAGTTTACCTTCTCCTTTTTGGCTTTCTTGCGCGCACTCTTCAGTTGGCGCTCCGCATCGCTGCTATCGGACTCATCCTCGCTATCCTTGTCGCTATCGATGCTATCGCTGCCGCTGTATTTGCGCTTGCGGGACTTCTTCTTTTTCGACTTACTGCAAATAGAATGGGTTTCAAATTGTGCGATTAGTGGCCATGCAAATTGATGCCCAAAACTGAGGGTGAACAGTTTCAGCTCTAGAGTTCTTGTGGACGCGTCCGGGAGACGGGGCCCACAAATGGGGCCTGGCAGCAACATTAAGAGGTGTGTGTTTTTGTTTTAAAGAGTTTTGATTAACTTGTGGTTTAGTGCTTTACCTTCATCGAAAACTGCTCAAAAATGCATTGTCTTAATAATAGTAAGTAGGTTAATAATAATAATAGAAAGAAAGATGAGAAAGTAATTCGCTTTTAATTGTTGCAAAACACAGTTTGGTTCCTTAACAACGAGACTTTTCTTAAACTTTATGCTTGTCGTGTGTTGTGTTCAGCTGTGTGGTGTGTATAGTTGTGGTGGGTATTGGTGTGGTGTGTATAGTCGTGGTGTGTGTGAGTGGGTCTGTGTATGTATGTGTGTGGGTGTGTGGGTCTGGTTCTTTAACAACAAGACTTTTCTTAAACTTTATGCTTGTCGTGTTGTGTATAGCGGTGTGGTGTGTAGAGCTGTGGTGGGTGTAGCTGTGGTGTGTGTATAGCCGTGGTGTTTGTATAGCCATGGTGTATGTGTATGTATATAGCTGTGGTCTGTATAGCTGTGGTGTGTATGGCTGTAGTATGTAAAGGCGTGGTGAGTATGATTGTGGTGTGTATAACCGTGGTGTATAAAGCTGTTATGTGTGTGTGTGTGTGGATATGATATGACATTAAAGTCCGCACAATTTTGTAACACAATACAATTAGATATTATAAACGAATTTTACTTACCAAAAGCTGGACAAGATCAATGTGAATGTGTAAAGCGAAATGTGTGTGTGTGTATGTGTGTGTGGGAGTAGTTGTGCGTGTGTGGGCTTAGAGATTAGTGTAAACTAGATTTAAAAGAAGGATAGAGCCCATAGAACCCTACGCTTAATATGAAAATAAAACGATGCTGTCAGTTAAATATGATTATCAAAGTATATTATAATACTTTTCTTTTTTGGGGAGCACACATTAGAAATTCATATCATTTCGCTGTGTTTAATAATGTTGTTGTTGTTTTTTTTTTTTATATATATATAGTTAAGCTCATTTTATAAACTAGATAATAATATGTGTATGCAAAAATTTCATTTGTACATAACTTTTCGCTTCTTTTTACTTTCTTTCTCATATGAGTCCCTTTTGTTTGGTATCAAGTTTTCAAATGCAATGTAAAAGAAGGAGTAGAGACGAAAAACACAAAATGTATTAAGCAGTTGTTTTTGTTAAATTACAAAAAATGTTACGTTTTTTTTTTTTTGGCAAATTTGCATTTGTCTAACACGTACAAGAATAGAATGTTTTGAAGATAAATCAAATCAAATAGAGTTTACAAATGGAACAAATAAATTCATGAATTTGCAAAAAGATTTGTTTTTTTTTTTCGAAATAAAGAAACTAGTTAAAACACAGAGAGCTACAAGTGGGTTAGGACTCGGTGCTTGGGCTACTTTCGAGCTCTTACCTTTCTTTCTTGTGCTTCTTGGACTTCTTCTTCTTATCCTTGCGACGCTCCGGACTCGCCGAGCTGCAGGAGAAAAGGGGGAGAGAGTTAGTCTTGCTATTTTTTTTTTTAGCATATTTATAGTTTACCTCTCCCGGGCGCGTTTCTTTTTCTTCTTTTTGTCCGACTTGGAGACATCGCCACTTTGATGCAGTGCATCCGCTTTGCCAGCAACGGCAGCCGCCTCCGGCGAGGGCGTGCGCACGAGCGCATATCGTTTGCCCGTCTCCTTGTCTTTGCCTCCTGCTGCCGCCGCCGCAGCCGTTGCGGCCGCTGCGAGGCTCTCGCGCTGCGCGTCCAGCTCCTTTTGCAGCGCCACGCTCTTGGCCAGATCCTCCTTGGCCTTGCGATCGCTATCAAAACTGCTGCCCTCGACAAAGTACTCAGATATGTTGAAGGCTTCGCGCAACTTGGCGTTCTTCTGCTGCTGTGCCTCAGCAATTTGATGGGTTTCACGCACGCTGCAAGAAATAGAAGAAGAAGGCTTTTGAGATGTGGGCATGGCTAAAGGCAACGATAAGATAGTCGGATAACTTATGTATCTAGACACGGAACACTTTGGGTGTCCATTTACCTGGCCACCGCCGCTTTGCCAGCGCCGAGCAGCAGCGTCTCGAGCCATGTGCTCGACGAGTGCTTGAGCAGCTCGAGTAGTGCCGGCAGCGCCTGGCCCTTAAGATTGCGTGTGCTGTCTGACTTGATTCTTTCCCTTTCCCTCCTTTGCCGCTCCCTTTGACTGTCATCAGCTGTTCGCACCTCCTGCGGGCATTGCGTCATCTGCGTATTCTGGCAGACGCAGGCGCAGTCGTTGAGCGTCTTTCGCGACATTGCTGTGCGCCTGTTCTTCTTGGCGCCGCTTGCCAAAACCGGCTTGAACTTCTTGGCCACGGCGGCATAGTTGAGCGCCGCCGCCGTTGTGGCCTGCGCCGTGATGTGGAAACTCTCGTATTTGGCTATATACTCGCGATTGTCGTGCTGGAAATATTGCGCCTTGCATTTCCTGCCGCAACCCACAATGGCCTTGGCGGGGTTGCTGCTGCTGCTGACCCCGTTGCCGCCCCCGTTGCTCTGCCCACAGCCGGTTGCGTGTCCTGCGCGTTTGCGGCGCTTGCGTCGCTTCTTCGTCCTCACCACATGCAACGTGCTGAACGCATTCATCGTGCTGCTGCTGGCCGCGCAGGCCGTCGAGGCCATGGAGGTAGCTGTTGCCACAGCCGTCGCCGTTGCAGTCGTTGTGTTCGTGTAGACTTCCGAGGACAGCATTTTGCGTGGAGAGTTCCCCTTCTCTCTTGCTCTTCTTAATAATAATATTATTAAGGGTTGTTTGGGCAAGTGGATGTTTTTGGTTTTGATAATATTTTTTATAATATTTGGTTACTTTTATGAGATTATTCAATATTTTTTTATGAGAATATTCATTTACACAGGAAATATTTATCCTGTTTAAGTTTTGGTTTAATATTTGTATAAATTTATATTGTTTTATTCTTTTTTTTCACTATGTTGCGTTTTTTTTATATTTTTTCCCGATTTTACTTTTACAATTTTATAAATGTTCTATTTATTATTTTTATTTTTATAAAAATGTATTAAATCAAGTTTTTGTGTATAAAAATATAGTTTTGTCCACAATTTGTTCAGGAAGACAGCGGATTAATCTTTATATAGTTATCTATATTTATTTATCTATTAATGTATTCCAATTTTGTTTTTCAACATTTGTTTAGGAAGACATTGGATTGCATTTTATTTATTTTATTTGTTAATTCATGGCAATATTTTTTGCATTATTTTTTTCACGATTTTGTCAGGAAAATGGTTTTTAGTGTTTAAATAATTTAGTTAAAATAGATTCATTTATTATAAGTCATATTTTGTTTGGTTTTTATTTTCCACACGTTTATCAGGAAGACTTTGGATTATAAATATATATAAATTAATATATATTTATTTTTATTATTGTACATTATTTATATTTTTTATTTTCAACTTTTATGTTTGTTGGGATTTTCTGCTATTTTTTTTTTTACTTTTTGTTATTGAATTTTTAAATTTTATATTTTCCCGGAAGACTTTGGAATCTTATAAATTTGTTATATATATATTTTTTTATATATATTTTATATAAAAATAAACTTTTTTATGCACTTAATTTAAAAGCTTGGAAGACTTTGGATTAGCATTTATGTCGAATTACAATTTGGCTACATTTGCCTTAAATTGTTAATTACAAGTATTTTATTCATTAACAAGTTTGATGGTTATTTGGAAGACTTTGTTGTTTTTTATATTCTTTTAGCTTTTATAATTTATAGAAATACTCCGTTGAAGCAAACAAATTGCGCTCGCTGCCGACTCCATTCAACGACTAAAACTAATTGCGAATTACAAGCTACGTTTGGAAGACTTATTTAGTGATTTGTTGCTTTCGGTTTGTTGGATCAAGTGCGGTGCTCACATTAAGCTGTCTGTGCTCGGGAGCTTAATACTCCATCGTAGACACTTGCTATCAATTTTCACAACAACAGCAACCATTGCGACGACGACGACGAAGCTAAGCGGCTGTGGTTAGGATGAGCTGGTAGCCACCACCAGCCGAGCATGTTTGGGTTTTTATTTGTTGGGTTTAGTGCGTCCGGCTGCACACTTGAAGGGCTGCTCGAGCTTTGGCATATTGATTGCATTTTGCCCAATCGCCGCATTTTCAACTGCTCTTCTTTTTTCTTTTCAGTTATTTTCATTCGTTTTCTGTGTCAGCTATTGATTTTTCCAGCGCTGCTTCAACATTTTCCACTGCCTTCCAAATCCTGGCGGCCGCGTTCATGCTGTCCTCGTCGCCGTCGCTGTTGCCAGGGCAACTTTAACGTTTTTCTATTTCTACAATTTTTGTTTTGTTTTATTTCTAGTTGAATTTATTGTTTATTTAAAATAATTAATTTCCTGAGCGCGTGTGCCAAACGTTGGCATTGGAAGACTTGATGTGACTGCTGAAAATGTCATCCTTGCCGCAGATTTTTCTCTACAACTGCGCGTGTTTTGATTGGCGCCTGGACCAAAGGTTGGACAGGTTTCGGGTGGATGGTTTCTCGCGCTGTGCGCAGCCGGCGGCGCATGTGATGTGGCGGCCAGTTTAACAGCTGGCTGAGATTTGATGTGTTTGGTTCAAGCGTTTATTGATTTGTCCAGCAGGCGCTCAATTTTGATTTAAATTACATAATTGCGACTAACTATATTTAGCTACGACTAAATGTATAAAATGCAGCTACTTACGCTACGCGTCCAAATTCATCCTTGGCCAAATCGGTTTTGCCTTGGCCCATTAATTTCTGGCGATACGAGTCCACGTGCGACTTGATCTCCTCCGGCGTGCGTCTGTTTTTGGGTCAGAAAAAAAAAAAAACAAAAGAATAACAATTAGAAAAATAAAACAAAATCACAGCAACTTAAATATTTAGTCAGCAATATTTGCTTAAAATACCTTTTAGACTAGCGTAAAACTTAAAGTTTTATCAATTTCACTGTTTAAATATTTATGCTAATTGCATTTTAAGGCCTCCTTTTTTACACTTTTTATTTTGTAATTTAATGTTTATGCTTAAACAATTTAAAACTTAGAAAGTTCTCCGCTTTATTGTGGAACGCGGATGTGCTCTATTGAAACAATCTCTACAACTGAAATGCAGTTTTCCACCACCCGAACGGCGCAGGCCAGGCTCAGGCTGCGTCGTTGTCAGTCGGAGGCCAACGGAAGTAGAGATGAACGCGTGTCAAAAGTTCGGGTTTTTGTATAGACCCAACATCTTCCATATGCCTGCAAGGGTTTAGCAGCTTGATCTACGCGAAATTCTATTTTATTTCAATGCATTTAGTGTACAATATTTTTCGAAATTCTTTGCAAAGTCGTGAACGTGCCAGATTTGATTAATCAACTTATTTTTCGTGTCACGAAAGAGAGCACGACACGCGCTCAGCTTTAGGCCGAAGCGCTTATGTGTGACGCAAAGTAGGGGGTGGTTGGGTTAGCTGGTGCTGGGCGGGCGGGCGGTGCTCTTGCAGCAGGGTTGGTGGTGGGTTGCTGCTGCTGCCATCGCCGCTGCTGCTGCTGCTGAGCGCGCGCTCTCTGGCAGCTACCAGGCGCCGAATGTAAACATAACAGCAGCAAGCAGCGGGCGAACGAATGTAAATATTGGCACGTTGGAGAGGAATGCATGGGACGAATGTGCGCACAGTGTTGGCGACCGGTGTTATATAACGCCAATATTGCATTACATGCAGGAGGCAAATGCCAATTGACGGGATATGGCAGCCCCATTTGATATGCGACATATTATTTGACTTACCCTTGCTTCTCGAGTATTTCTTCGAATTCAATGCACTTCACCTCGATCTTGCGCTTGCGATCGTGATCAAGTATCTCCTTGTTTGGCGGCCGATTTAGCTGTGCGTCCAGCTTTTTGGTATCATCTTCGGCACGATAGTCCTTGTCCTTTTTGCCCGGTCGCACAAATGCCCAATTGCGCTGCACATGTCCATTTGTGCCGGAGCCACGCGGCGTCGTCAGGCCAATGCCGTTGTACATATTGAGCGGCTCCTTGTCGCTAGATAGCTATTTTTGCTGGTTTAAACGTTTACTTTTTCGTATGCATCAGCGTTTGGAACGGCGCAGCTGCTCCGCCAAATGTGCAGTTTGCAAACACAAGAAAAATCGATTTTGTCTAGCAGGCAACGCCGTCGCCAGTGCAACTCTGACTATCGATATATTTGCAGCACTGCGATATTATATCGATATTAATGAAATCGCGAATTGTAAACAAAAATTGTACTTGGTTTACATTACTTTTAATAAAATACGATTTGAACTGCTTAACAATATGCAAACAGACAACAAAGAGGACAAGGAGGAGGCGGAGGAACCTACCAAAGTGGTTTTTAAGAAATCGTCCCGCAAAAATCTGCGCCAGCGCAAGAATTCTGATGATGGCGACAACGAGGAGCAGTGCGTATCTACATTTTCTATATATTAACATCTAATTAAATTCTGTTTTAAACAGGCTCACACTCGACGAAATCAAGGAGCGACAACGCTTAAGACAGCGTCCCAATGGCGTCAGCCTAGTGGGCCTGGCGCTCGGCAAGAAAGTCGCGCCAGAGGAAGAGCTGGCCATCAAGGATCCATTCAATGTGAAGATTGGCGGGCTGGTCAACATGCAACAAATGAAATCCGGCAAAATGAAGGAAGCCGATGATGCCTATGATGTGGGCATTGGTACGCAATTCTCGGCCGAGACCAATAAACGTGACGAAGACGAGGAAATGATGAAATACATTGAACAGGAGCTGCAAAAGCGCAAAGGCGGCGCTGCAGATGAAAACGAGAATGATGACAGCGATGCCCATAAATATCTGACACCCGAGGATGCGGCACTCTACGCGCTGCCCGACCACCTGCGTCAGTCCTCATCGCACAGATCCGAAGAAATGTTGTCGAATCAAATGCTAAATGGCATACCCGAAGTGGATCTGGGCATTCATGCCAAGATTCACAACATCGAGGCCACGGAGGATGCTAAGCAAAAGCTGCTGCAGGATGCCAAGAACAAAAAGGATGGACCCTCACAGTTTGTGCCCACCAACATGGCGGTCAATTTCATGCAACACAATCGCTGTAAGCTGCTTAATCTTCATCAAATGTTTGTTACTAAATGGATCTTCTCTTGTTTCCAGTTAACATTGAAGACAACAATGAACAGAGGAGACGCAAGCGTGAGGATAAAGATGGCAACAACAAATCGGCGCAGCATCAAACAAATCCAAATGGCGTTAAGCGCGCAACGGATGATTATCATTATGACAAATTTAGAAAACAGTTTCGGAGATATTAAAAGAGTACAAATTTTTAGACAAGACACTTTTTATTATATTAATTTTAATATAGAAGCGGTTTTTCCTGTGCTTAATCCATGTCCTTTCCGTTTGCTGAAATATATAAAAATTACATGTAATCAGTTTAGTTTTGTTATTTAAAGTTGCTGTTTAAAACTAAAGCAAATTTGTTCAGAAAGAGAAGTTCATTTCATGGCAACGAATGACTGAAGCTCAATGAGATTCCTACTTGAATAAATCATCATAAAAGTTGTAAATGCTTAAACGTAATTTATAATCTATTAAACAATGTTTTTATACACACCTTTGGGAAAATAAACGACGGTTGGCAATCAATCCGAACTGGAAAGTACAAAGAAATTAATAAGATTAGTTTAAATCTCGGAGAATTCATGAAATATGGATAGATATTATGTTCAGGAAAAGAAGTTGATTTCATGGCAACGAATGACTGAAGCTCAATGAGATTCCTACTTGAAAAAATCATCATATAGAAATAGAAAGCTTTAAATCAGAAAATAGTTCTTACCTTTTAATTAAAATGAGTTTGACCAGCACCAAGCTGAAAATAGAAAGAAATTAGTGATCAGTTTTGATAAGATTTTAATGCAGCTTACCTATTAAAAAGTATAATCCAGTCCAGTTTGTGCTGAAACAATCTAAAATAAAAATAATAATAATACCAACCCAATAGCAAAGCCATACATTCTGTTGTTATTAGAGTTTTTGTTTGTTTTTTATTATACCCAGACAACATTGAAACGTTCATCCTCGCTCTATTTTGTCAGCTTAGTTATTACTTTGTTTATAGAAAAAGAATTCTATTGTGAAAATGTAAAACGCGATGTACGTTCCCATTTTGCATGCTTATATGATGCCGATCTTGTTGGCGATATCGAGAGCATCGTAGTCACGCGCCAGGCGCACATAAGCCTTCTTCTGACCATCGGGCCTGATCAGAATGTTAACCTTAGCCACCTTGATGTCGTAGAGCTTGCGGACTGCGGCACGCACGTGGTTCTTGTTGGCGCGCAGGTGTGTGAGGAAGACCAAGGTGTTGTTGTCCTCGATCTTCTTCATGGCTGCTTCCGTGGTCAACGGGTATTTGATGATGTTGTAAGCATCCATGCGGTTCCTGGTGGGCACCGACTTCCTGGGGTATTTGGGATTGCGTGGTAGCTTCAACGTTGTTGGACGACGGAAGTGCACATTGGTGCGGATCTTGCGTGTGCGTGTACCGAAAGCGCCCTTGATGATCTGTTTGGTAACCATAGCAAAAGACATGATTAGCTTTCGTTTGATACGCTCAGCACTCGGCACTTGCTCACCTTGGTCTGCACCTTCTTGGCGTTCAACAAGGCAACAGCCTTGGCCTTAGCCGTACCCTTGGCGGGCTTGGCGCCAGCCTTGCCCACGGATTTCTTGCCCTTGGCAGCAGCACGTGCCTTGGCGGAGAGCTTGGCCAGCACAGACTGGGGCTTCTTGCCAGCGCCCAATTTCTTCTTCAGATCCTTAGCCTTTGGCTTGGTGATTGGCTTCTTCAGGGCGGGCTTCTTTGCAGCTCCAGCGGCTGGCTTCTTGGCAGCACCAGCAGCGGCAGCGGGCTTCTTGGCGGGAGCAGCAGCCTTCTTGGGGGCAGCAGCCGCAGGCTTAGCTGCAGCTGGTGCCTCCTTCTTGGCAGCAGCAGGCGCCGCCGCGGCCGCCTTCTTCTGCTCTGGCTTCTTATCGCCAGGCTTTGCTGCAATTGGCAATTAACAATATAAATTAACACTAGTAAACAGAGCTGCAAAAAAGTTGGGTTAAGCACGAACGCACAACGCTAGGGCAAGCAGCAACAACACAGCAGTCTTCATTTTTAATAACTATTGCACTTGAATTTAATAATAGATGCGCTTTTTGCTTAAATACAGCACTTGGCTGCTTCACACACGCGTTGTAAATTGTTTTCAATGCCGAGTCGCAGCCACACCGCACGTGGCGCAAATATGGCGAAACATTTTCTGTTATATTTGCTTGAAATTCTTATTTTAACACATTTCTACATATATCCGTGCATTGTGCTTGCTTTAACCTTGCTGCTGATGACAAAACCACACATTTTTTAGACATTTTTATATGAAAAATCCTTACCGGATTTCTCGGTTGGCTTTTTAGGTGGCATTTCTACGAGAAAAAGAAATGAAAAGGAAAACTGAGGGGCATTTGACAAATGAGCGGAAGCCCATTTTGACAGTAGCGTGGCCAGATGCGTAGCAAGTGGCAACGCTGTATGACGATATATGGTAAAATGGCAACGCTAAGCAACGTGCAGTTAAAACAAAGTGGCAGGCTAGTGGCAACGCTATAGAAAATTTAAAGGTACGGCAGCCCTGTCTGTCAATAAAAAACCGTTGTTTTGTGTGCAGTAAAATTAAAATGTATTTATAAAAATAAAATGTGAAGTGTGTGTGTTAATCAGCAGGCACAGCCACTCTTTTGTTTGCTGGAGCGACTTGTGAAATAACTGCGTAAGTCTGTAAATAGCATAACAAAATAACAAAAATTTGCCGCGCATTTTTCGATGTAACCTACCAAATTTTTGCGACTTTTCTGGCGTTTGTGTCGTCTGCTCCTCTGCTGTGCTCTTTAATAATTTTAATTGTTGCTGCATGGCCGTTTCAAAGGCCAATGCGGCCAAACGTTGAAAGAATTCGTTGATCTTGTAACCGGAACGCGCCGATACGGACCAATATTCGGCCTGCAGCTCGGCAGCTGCCACGCCCGCGAGGCGCTCCATTCGCACGAACTCCTCCTTGGTCTGGGTTAAAAAAATATGCCTAAGGATTGGATTACTTAAATCGATGTTTGTGCTCACCAAGAGATCTGCTTTTGTGCCCACTAGAAATATCAAAGGTTTCTGCGTTGTGTTGTAGTTGAGGGCGCTCGAAAGCCACTTTTTGGCAGCCTCTAGAGACTCGCGCTTGGCCATGTCGTAGGTGGCCACAATGACTGCAACAAAGGGGGTTAGATGGAGATTTCAAAGCTGCAGCCATGCTTACCACTAGCATTGCGATAATAGGCGCCCGCTATGCACTTGAAACGCTCCTGGCCAGCCGTATCCCACCTGCAAGCAAAAAGGAGACTTTAGGTTGGAGTGCCTGCCAGGGAACTGTACACTCACATCTCCAGGCCGAAATTGTGACCCAATATGCTAAAGTTCTCCAGCTCAAAGTCAACGCCAATGGTTGCCTTATAGTTCGACTGGAACTTGTCGTAGCAGAAGCTGTAGTAGTAGCAAATCCCAACAAGATTCAATCAAAGTTTTCATTGGAGAATCACCCAAATGACTCACCGATTCACAATGGCCGTTTTGCCCACGGCGCAGTCACCCACAAAGATGACCTTGCAGGGACGCAGCTTGGGCTTGCGCGGCAGCTCCAGTTGGTAGCGCAGCTGGGGCGCAAAATCCTTGTCCCGGCTGTAGGGCGTCTGGGCCAAGCTGTAGGCGGGCGGCAAATGCCGCAAATGTGTGCGCGGATCGTGCTGGGTCGCCGTTGGCGTCGCGGGCAACAACAGATTCTGGCGCATTCGATGGGGCATTGTGTACGTCTCGTTGCCAACTGACTGCGGTCGCAAACCAAAACGGAAAAATGCTTCACAAAAAACCACAAGCCTCGGCCTGAACTTGGCGGGCTATCAGGTGCTCAAGGTGCGCCACAGGTGCTCCAACTTTATATGCAAATATGCCCCGCTGATAACCCTCGAATTGGGTTAACCAGCGATAGCAATGTGGCACAGAGCTGAGCCTCAAACTTGATCAGGAATTTCCCCATGTGCGTTTAGTTGAGTTTTTGCTGTGATACAAACTTGGAAAGTTGAGATTTGCGTAAGCTAATAGCACATTATGAGGGTAGTGGATTCGTCCATAGAAAAGTTTTTCAATTTTAGATATGCTTAACTTAAAGTATTGTCTATATAAATCTTGTTTATTTTTGGTGAAAAACGGGTACAGAGTTTTAGAAAATTCCACTCGTATAGGTGGAAAGTTCTTGGAAAAGAGTTGTGTTAAAATTTTTTATTTTCAATTCAATCGCCTTTAAACTCATTTTCAATTATATTTATTAAACATTTCTTTGAGATGTTTTTCACGCTTTTCGGCTAAATCACGCGCCTTAGTGAAAAATAGAAGACATGTAATTGAGAATTGTTTCACGCTTTTCGGGTAAATCACGCCCCTGAACTGTAGACATGTAAAGTTCCGCACAATTTCAGATATCGCCTTCAAACTGACTTTCAAACATTTTTATAAAATATTTCTTGGAGATGTGTTTCACGCTTTTCGAGTTAATCACACCCCTTGGTGGAAAAAGGGGGAGATTTATTAACTCCTTTATCCTTTATTATTTGCTTGTTTCTCGCTTGGTGAAAAATGGGGCACATTTATTAAAGCTGTGTTTCACGCGTTTCGGGTAAATCACGCCTCTGGGGGAAAATGGTTGCTTAAGTAATTTTAATTCTCCGAACAAGTCTATTGCGCTGCTGTGTGCTTGCCGCCTTCGGGATAACTAAAGGAACCCACGCTCTTGACCTGTTGCAGCAGCTCCGGATCCAAGGCCAGGGCCTTGAAGAGCGCACGCTTCAGCTGCCTGTACTGAAAATGCGGCGGAAAGGGCATGTCCTCAAAGGCGAGCATGAGAAGATTGCCGGCCTCATTGCCCACGGCCAGGCAGCGACCACAGTGCGAAAAGCTGGAAATGAAATGGAAATCCTGAGTTCAGTTGAAGCAGAATATAAGCAGAATGCTCACCAGAAGGTCGTGTAGTCAATCCGGGCATCGATTGTGGTGGACGAGACGGGCTTCAGTGTGCTGTTGCGCAGATCCCAGATGTCGATGGTGCTGTGGCTGAGCGAAACCAAAATGGTCGAATGAGTGCGGCTCCAGCGGGCGCAGTGCACCGGCGACAGATGATGCTGCAGGGTGATCAGCGGCAGCAGGATGCCGCCCAGCCAGATGCGAATGCACCTGCATAGGATTAACTGGATTAGAAGGAATTGAAATGGAGCCAAACACTCACCAATCGCTGCCACAGGTCAAGTAGAGCTTGGGGGACCAGGGCGAGAAGTCCATGCAGACGGCGGGCGTTTCGTGCACCTGGCGCTGCTCCAGATGCTGCAGTGGATAATTGGTGGAGCACTTGTACATGGTGCCCTCATCGGTGAGCACATAGTAAAAATCCGTTTGCAACGGATCCAGCACGAGTTCCAGGCACTGCACGTGGCGATTTGCCAGGAGTGGGACACGCTGCGCCTGACACTGGAGGGGAATCCCCTCCAGCTCGGCCTCGGCACGCTCAAAATACTGATGCTGAAAGCCCAACAGATGTGGACTATTAATCAGCTGATATTTGGTGATGGCGCCCGACTGCGAGGCAGCCAGTAGAGGCGTCAGATCGGGCTCGCCGGGCACATCGCCATCGGTGCGCTGTATCCACTTGATGGATGTCACCGGCTCGAAGTGGGGTGAGCTGCTGCGCTGCGAGTTGGCCAGCGGCGGCTGATCCTCCGGCTGCGAAATGTCACGCACCTGGACATCGCCATTGTGCAGGCCAATGGCCAGCAGCTGTGGAGCCGCCGGCGCGAACTGTAACGTGACCACGGGCACGGCGTAATTGTAGCAGCGTTCCGGATTCACCGGATTCTTGATGTTCCACACGTAGACATGGCCGGGACTGATGCCGGGCTGCTTGCCCAGCTGCGCATGGGTATAAATACCATACGACACGGCAAAAATGTCGCCATTGCTGGGACAAAAACTAATCCCGGTCACCGCCTGCCGGGCTCCGGGCAACGGGCAGGAGGTGGGTGCACTCAGACGCCAGAGCAGGCGCAGCCGGTACCGGAACTTTACATCCTCGGCGAGCGGATCGGGTGGCGTCATATTGCGAAAACGGCGCTGTTCCGGCTCGTACACATTGCTGGCCAGGATGCGCATGGTCAGCATAAGCGCCAGCCGGAAGCTGGACAGCTTATTGATGGCCACAAATTGATCCACGCCGCCGACGCGATAGGTGGTCACCTCCATTTGCTGGTCGCCCTGCACCTGAACGCTCTTCGTGGACGCCTCCAGATCCTTGTACGTGTCGAACATCTCGAAGTTGGAGACATAGGAGGCCACCTGGTCGGTGCGCAGGCGCTCCGTGTTGACCAGCCGCGATTTCAGCAGCGTCGATATCGTCTGCGTTTCCGAGTCGACGGTGCGTCGGGATTTGTCTGTGCCCGCCAGCAGCTGCTCGTAGCGCCGATTATCCGCCAACACCTGGCGCCCCTCCTCGCTGTCCGCCTCGGCCGTCATGCTGGGGCGCTCGAACAGCACCACAAGCGGCGTCTTTCTCAGCAGCACTTTGATAAAGGGCGTGGCCGTCGGCTTGGCCGATTTGCGAGCCGCGGGCGCAAAGCCAACAGTTTCTGCTTTGGCCGTGTCCCTCTCCCTCTCCCTGTCACTGTCCCTGTCCCTGTCGCCACCCAACTGCAGCTTGAACAGATTTATCTGGAGCAAGGCACACAGTTTGAGGCTGAGTGGGAAGTGCTTCCTTTTTGTATACTCACGCCCAGCGCTATGTCATCCAGCGAGGCGCGCATCACGCACTTGGTGCGGTATTCGGGCGAGCGCAGCGTCTGCATGGGCAGCTGCTCCGACGTGGTCGTCTTCATCAGCGGATGATTCCTGATCAGCTGGCTGAGCTGCTGGAAATCAGCAGCTCGATAATCCTTGTTCAACGGCCTGGACATCGTGGCTGATAAAATTCTAATTTAGCAGCTATTATAGAGCTCGAATATACACTGTACCAATAGGAAGTGCTTCGAAGTAGGGTATATTGCAGTTGTGCTCATGTATGGAACAGGCAGAAGTAATCCTATTTATAATATGAAATTTCGTATACCACAAGATTTAACTTTCTCTTATCTCCTACCGTTTTTTCTCGAATTCGATAATTATCGATTATTGATTGTGGTGTTTATAGCACATATCGATAGTTTATATGAGCTGGATATGCAAAATGGCCATGTAGTAGACATAGATCAAGAATATTTCACTATTTGATTACCTACCTCCGTTCCCTTTAAAACAGAAATTTAGATCGATAATTATCGATAAATATATATATTTAAGCACTGAAAATTTCATAAGTATCGAACTGTAAATACAGAAGTTACTTAAAAATGAATTGTTCCTAGTATAAAGCTTGCTGGAACTTACAGCTATATGCAGGGAATCTTCTAGTCGGGCACACTCTTCCAGCGCACTTTTACTTGTTTATAATGTGGTTAACATGGCAACGCATCGTTGCCACAGACACGCGCCTGTTGCCATACGGCAGTGCTACATATTGTTGCGCAGCTGCACACATAAATATTCATAATCAAAATAATTTTCAGGCACGCAAACGCAAAGTAATTCAATTTGTGGCAAGTCGCAGCTTTTATGCCCTAACAAGCTATCGAAATGGGTTCGATAGCGCTAGCCGAATATCGATAGCATCGATACTTTGACTATTGTGAACCTAGTTGAGTTGCAAAAACTTGCCGCGTGTTTTGGGTGCAGCGAGCGAGCTTGCATTTCAATATATCAAAATACATATTTATAAGTTCTACTGTTTTCTGTTTCTTTCAAATGTATAACATAAAGCGTGACTAAGTGATATATGTATATGGTAGTTGCAAGAGAATTCGGATAATTATGGCGATTGCATGGTTCACAGACGCGCACAGTGCAGACGGCCTGCCTATTGTGAATGGCAAAACTTCCGCAACAGCAACAACAACAACAAGAGAAACAAGTACAAAGCATATAACCGCTGCTATGACCTGTCACAAAAAAAGAAACAAAACTAAGTTTCGTTTAAAATTTGTATAGCAATTAGACGCACACACACACACACGGTCATGTGTAGCAATAGAAAGGGTCTTTAATTCCGCCACAGCGCGCAGAAGTCGACGAAAAAGAAGTTGTCTTATGTTAATTTTGCCTTTATGCTTCGCTACGCTGATTCGCTTAATGAACAGGCAGCGGCTGCGGCTGCGGCAGCGGCAGCGACGTCGGCGTTGTCAGCAGCGCGCAGCAAGTGCAATATGTCAAATAGACAGACGAAGCAGCGAAAAGAAAGACGTTTTCCGCATGGGGGCCAAGAAGCCGCCGCATTGCATGTTGGTCAGCAGCAGCAACAACAGCAACAGCAACAACAACAACAGTAACAAATCGCCTGCGTTCACAATATAAACGCGTCAAGCGTAAAGCAATAAATGTGCAAGCGAAAAAGAGAATACAATAACAAAAGCAGCGTTAAAGTCGCTTTTGCGTGCATTATGAACTTTGCACGGGCGAGAGAGCAGGCAAGAAATGCGCCCAACGCTTGTTACACATTTTTGGCAAAAAAAAAAATATAACAACCACAACAACAATGGCGGCTGGCAGCGGCGTTGCAGTCGACGCTGGCTGCGCACAGTGCTTAAAATTGTGACTAGTGGCAACGCAAAATTTCAATTAAAGGCAGGCGACAAATGCGTCAATTCTGTTATCGCGTTTGTAAAACCAAATTTTATGACCGTTCAATCAATACGGTAAGTGCATTTGTTAATATCAAAAATCTAACCATAAAATCGCTTAATTGGATGCATTTTATGAGCTTCTAATTGTCCACACCCTGAAAATCGTAAAATTTAACGGCTACAAGTTCATCTAGCATATGCACATGTACTCACACACACACACACACACACACACGCGCACGTACAGAGATATGCGTGCGCCTGACCCGTGTCTTTGAACCGTTTTACGTTCATTCAGTTCAACTTTTACACCTGTTTTATGCTTCCACTGGCCCCAATGTGCGCCGGCCGCTGCCAACGCCGACGCAGCAGCGTTGCGCTCATCGCGTTGGGTGTAACATATTTTCTTTTTCATTTTTCTGTGTTGGTTTAGTTTTTTTTTTTTTTTTAGCAGCGTACGCCGCGTTTAAGCCCTCTGCTCACAAAAGCGACTTTTATTCGTTAATTAACCGTCGTGCGGCGCAGAAGTGCCGGCCGCGCAAAGCCCGCTTAACGGAAGTCCACAAAATCGAAGCTATTGCGGAAACTCGAAAGCGAGGGCGCAAAAACTGATTTCGATTCTCTCGGCGATTGAGCACAAACAACAGCCAACCAACTGTGGCAACACTGGCACCTGCTGTCGCCGTTGCTGTCGCCGTCGCTGTTGACGTTGACGTCGGCGCTTTTCACTCTTTTTCGTTTTCGGTGCGCGTCACAGTTGCATTTCGAACGCGGCACGTGCGCCGTTGTCCAACCTCGACGCCGGCGCTGACTCCTGTTTGCAGTCGCAGTCGCAGTCGACGCGGCGCGTGCGCAGAGACATTTGAGTTATTATAATTTTATGCAGATTGCGCGGCTTTCAATCAATATATGTGTGTGTGCGTGTGTGTTAAATGTTAAAGCGATTTTGCAATAAGGCGACACCCGCATTCACAGCATTCATAATCAGTTAATCAGTTGATTTTGTCTTATCAGCAGCAGCATCGCAGCACCTGTAAAATGTTACTTTGGAAGCGGCTTTGTCGAACCCAAGGCGAGCCGGCGGCGGCAGCAACAAATACCTTGGCGCAGCGCACAGGTAAGTTTGTTTGCGTTTATAAATAAATCTAGCTAGCCACGCCCCTTTATTAGAAACGCCCACGCGGCGACGCGCTTATTTGTTGAAATGTGCAAACATAAAAACATTTAAAAATCAAAAATTGTGAAAGAGAAAAATTGTTTTATATTTTGTTTTAATTTTTTTTTTTTTTGGGGACTTTTTTTGTTGTTGTACATGAAATCTGTGCGTCTCATTTGCATAATTTGCATCTTAAAATTGTTTCGGTTTCAGTTTCTGTTTTTATTGACTGGTTTATTGATTTCATTTTGTGATTTCGTTCGCAAGACCCAAAAAACAGTTCCAAGTCCCCGTCTCGGGCGCTTAATAAATTACCATCAAATTTTATCACCTACAAAAGTTGTGTATTCGCTGAGCAGACAAATGCGTGAAGCAGCTTTAATCCATTGAGTTAAATGAAAAATATCTAGTATGTTAATACTCGCTTTTAGTTCTGAACTCCATTCCTGGGCCTCGGCTCTGCGCGCTCTTTGGGTGGGTTCCAGTCCGGGTGTGGGGTGAGAATGTTGGCAAAAGGATTTATGAATGAGTTTGGCGTGTTTAACATAATTATGCACATCTCGCAGTCTGCTTAAGATTTAGATACGTCCACTAGATCAATCTATTAAACATGTGCGAGGGATTCGCTTAGAAGGGACTAGGGAATGCTCTATGGGCAGGTGAGATATGTGGCTCTTACACCAGAAAGTACGTTTTAATTATACACACCGAAAATATCTTAGAATTAAGAAAATCGAAAATCATATTACAAATTTGAACTTAAGAAGCTTAGCAATCGATATTTATCGATCTTGTCGGAAACTGGAGACGGCTAAAAATCACAAAAACCAGATGTTCATTAAGGTATAATAGAGATTTTTTAAATTCTAATATCTCTCAATTTCTAAAAAAATAAAAAGTTTTACAAATCGATATTTATCGATGTTTATCGATGGAGGATAAACTTTTGCAAATCGATATTTATCGGTGGCGAAAATTTGTTGTCTGCTTCTTCTATTTGTTAACAAAATAGCACATAACTGAATAAGACCCATTTGAAGCCCCATTGACTAAGTTTAGGGTATTTTATGTGATAGTATGCTTGGAGTTGGGACTGCTCAAGCTATTTATAAGACGATGGCGTGGGATGTATGGAAATTTCCAGGCATAGTCTCAACGATTATCTAATCATAGTTACCTTTGACTAGCGTCTGGGCACGAGCTATGTCTAATTGTGGATGCGGTGAGGCGCAACTGTCAGTTCGCATTGCCACAAGCTGTGGCAAGCTGGGACCACAGTGGCTCTCCAGTGCCAGTTATTGTGGTTTTCAATGCGTTGCGTTTCGTTTCGATAGCGATTCCTTTTCTTCCCTGCCTGTCTGCTGTCGCTTTTTGGCTGGGCTCTTATTTTGGTCAACATGACTTTGACTTGTGGTAATTTGATGTTAATGACACTCATCAGCAGCGACACACGAACAACAACAACAACAACAACAACAAAACAGCAACAACAAGAACGGGCAGCGACATCGACACTGGCTTTGCCTCAACCTGCCCCCTGTCCCAAGCCTGGCAGCAAACGTCGCACACTTAACACGATTCTAGTAGATCGTTCCGCTGTCCAGCGACATTTTTATGTGCTTCCCAACCGCAGCGCACCTGCCCCTTGCCAACCCTTCTCGCCCCTTTCCGTCGTGCGGCATAATCGGCTTAGGCTTGGAGGAGAGTCTCTAGCCCATGCCTGGCCTTTATTATCGCTGTCTCTCATTCTTTGGCTCCCTCCTATCGCTCTCTATGCGCTGCATTTGGGCATTCTTGTTATTAGTTTGTGTCTTGAGTCTTCTGTTTTCGAAACGCCATCAAGTTGCATGTTTTATGCGCCTCGTAAAAACTACGCTTCGATATGCGTATAAAAATGAGTTCAACATTTTGTTGTGACACTTTTATGGGTCGCTTTTTTTTCTTATTCTTATTTCCTGGCATATAACCTGGCAGCGGGCTGTTATAAATTTGTCCCGAAATGTGTGACATTTTGAAGGACAAGGATCATGTTCTTGATCAGTATGAGGAGTAAATTTATTCACCTTAAATTTGTCCGGCTATTTGTCTGCGCGAATGCGAACTATAAAATTACAAAATTCGAAGATTTTAAATTCATCCTCAAGGAGCGTGGACAAGTAAAAGAAGTGCAGCCGAAATATATTTTTATAGCCAAACATATATGTATTTATAATATGAAAAGTTTGCCAAAACCAGGAAGATATTCTCCTTAAAAATATAGCTAAACAAACTGCAGAGCGAGTTTATACTTCGATATTTCCTGCCCATTTGCATAATATCGATAAATATCTATTTTGAGACATGGTTTATTAGTCATAACTCGAAGTTTATAAGAGATTATAGGAGTTATTTATATTTATTTTAGTTATTTCTTGATGTATACGGATTGAGGATCTTTAACTTTTCAGATATCTCCCACTTTCTATAAGAACTATCTTTGAGAGCTTGAGCTTTGCTAAAGCTAATCTGAAAACTCAGTAATTTATAGTTTTATAAAGCTCAACACTATATAAAATAAAAGTAATGTGCATATCTCTCACATAGAAGTATTCGATCTTCAACAAATAGAAAGAAGACCCCTTTCATGTCGCACTCACAATCTGACAAAAGACTTTAATACCTTGATAAACCGTCTAATGGAAATTCTTGGCCATTTTGATAACTTTCCCGTATCTTCAGAATCTCTCATAGCCCCAACCTTTTACTGTCCAACAGAATCTTCTTTAGTCCAACTCTGATCTTTACGGGCCGCACAAATTGCCCATAAATTACAAGCAGAAACCGTCACAGCGCCTACACCATCATTATCAGCTTGTAAATAAAAAGACTTTATCAGTTGTTGGGCCCCGGGCCGCTGGCAACTGCAGCCAACCAGGCGGTACGCGGTATCCAGTGCGATTTTGTGCCTGGAACCAACTCTCTCACCTAATAACATAAAAGTTATCGAAATGGCCAAAAAGAGGAGAGTCTCCTCAGAGCAGAGGCTGTGCCGAGGCTGTGTCTCGGCCCCGTCTCGGGCTAAGTACAAATATTTTTTTATTTATGATTTTACAGATCAGCATATTGCTCAATAATTTTTAAGGCCTTGCCTTGCAACAAAATAACTTTCAAATTATGCTATCCCCCGCGCCGGGTGAAGCGCTTAAGTGCGCCAATTTTGAAATTATTGGCGGCTGCGTATGCAGATAATCGTGACCTGCTCCCCACACACACACACACACACACACACACACACACACACAACAGGCACACACACACAGTCAGATAAAGATGCAGGCGGGGCAGATGTAGATCGAGGTTCAGGCTCAGGCTCAGGTTCAGGCACAGCAGCGCGGCCCATAACTCAGGCTGCGCTGAAATACAGTAGAATCTCGATAGGTTGAACAGCTTTCGATATAAGAAATTATTATTTAAATTATACAAAAATAATCATTGATAAATTAAAACGCGATTGTAAGGATATCTGCAGCACGCCGAAGATTTTATACCCTTCTAAGACATTTGCCGATTGATCGCTCCTATGACAGCTATATGATATAGTATTACGATCCGACATATGTACTGCCTGTTACAAAAAGACGGACCTGTGCAAAGTTTCATGAAGATTACGGCCTTTAAGACAAATACTATTTGGCATAGACGAAAGGATAGAGGGACGAACGAACGGACAGACAGACAGACGTGTAGACGAACTCGACTATTTATGCTGATATAGAAGATATCTGGAGGATAACACGAACAAGATTGTACTTTGTGGAGATTTTCCTTAAACTTACGGACGGACAGAGATTATTCAAGATGCACTAATCATACCCTTGAATAGAGATGAAGTAGACACATGCAGTCTGAAATAGACACATTTTGTTTCTCTAAAGATCGCAGCACCGTCTTCAATAGATATTTTAAAATAATATACACAGTCAGCTGTACTCGACTGAATTTTCCGCTTCTTCTATTAAATTTATTTATCATTTTGTTGGTTTTCCGAGCTTGCAAAGTTTTCCACATTAACAAGTTCGCACTGTAGAAAAGTGAACCTGAGCACAAATTGTTGTGCGAAAGTTGTTGGCTTTTTGCTTTGGGCGCAACAATTTTGCTTAGCTATTTGTATATAGAACTCGTATATCATGACACATTAATTTAATTACTCTATTTGGCATAGTTTTCCCAACGTACAATTTTCCAGGCAACAAACCGATCTGAGCTTCCATTTGAGTAAATGCTGGTCAGCCGTATTTGGGGCAGCTTAATATTTTCCCATAAATAATGCGAGAGCTTGAGAGAAAATTACTTTAAAATTTATGGGGGAATCAGACGGACAACAACACAACCCTTCGTGTGTATCTTACACGCTGATTTGGCCCTTTTTATTTTTGCAATTTATGAGCCTGAGAGCCAAAGAGATCTCCGGCTGGAGCAGTTGCCTCCTCCACCTTCGACTCCTCTAGAGTTTTGTGCTGCGGCAAGTGATATTCACAAATAACGTGTTTCGTTTGGTTTTGCCTGTTTTTTTTTCGATTTTTTTTGGCAAGTGGGCGGGCCAATGGATCTTGAAAGTTCGCACGATTGATGATCCACTGATGGACTCACAGACAGGCAGACGGACAATCGGACGGACGGACGGACGGATGGACTGTCAGTCGAACTGACAGTTGCGATGACGCCGACCTGTCACCGCACTGACATAGCCATTTATGTAATTACACGCGGCCCCGGCCATATCACAAAGCGATCGCGATCCCCAACGCACCGCACCGCGAGCTTGTAATTATTTTCTACTTAATCTTCATCACATGTGCAACATGTCGAAAACTTAAGCGAATTGACGCGCTGCAACCAGCTACAAAAAAATAAAAACCTACAAAAAAAGTGTGTGCTGTGTGTACCCACACAGCGTGCATCGATGGATCACACCTGGCGTAGGGTTGGATTCACACCCACATTATTGCTGGTAAAAAAATATTTACTATTGATAAAAACCAACTCTTAAATAATTATACCTCATCCAGTGTAAACTTCAGTTATCTATAAATGGAAAATTCAAAATTCTTTACAAAAAAATTGCTCCATAAATAAGAAAAAGTACAAGAAAGTACGAGGTTCCAGCTTTTATATTGGAATCCGTTAAATTGTCACAAAATGCTGAATTATTTAGAGTAAAATAGAAATACTTTAATAAGATTTAAAAACCAAAAGAAGAAACTGAGAAAGAGTTTAAGAATTTGCTGGGTTGTTTTCTCCCTGTATTTTACAAAACCCTTTAAGCAATAAACCATATCGATGCTGCTTGGACTTACAAATCTATAGGAAGGAGCGGCTTCTATATAAGATACCTAACAGCTATAAGGTCAAAATGAGAATAGGCTCCATAACTTAACTTAACTTCCAAAAGGCCAAAAAGAGAACCTACCCGATAACTTGCTCTATAAAGAAGTAAAAGACAGATAAATCTGAACTCTTTCAACTCTTTCTATAAAGAAGTGATATTGTTTGTTCAACAAATCGAGATATTTATTCTTCCAACAATGAAAAAGAAACGTGGAGCATTTCTTTATGAACAATACAAATTCAACAATGAGAAGTGAGAACATTGAAGCCATAAACATAAACATATACAATCGCTAATAAAGTCACGTAATCAACAAATCACTGTGAAATATCACCGCACGGTGATTTATCGGTTTTTGCAGCCCTGCGGGGCAGCCAAAAGTGAAAATGAATTGGACATCGGCTGTTCGTGCGATGTGCCATGCAAAACGATCTTCTACAACAGGGTCCACCTGCGCCCAAGTTCAAGACTGGCCTCCAGCTTAAACCCTTGTCCCCCCAGCCCCAGCCCCAGCACCCGCTTCAGGTATATATCAGGTGTTTAAGGTTTCACAAAACAATCGCCGCATGCAGATGAAGCGCATGTGAACGTGCCTCGCTTATCTGTGGCAGTTGTTGCAAGCATTTTTTGTTTTTGGGTTCTTTTTTATGCGCTCGGTCAACCTCTGACCGAATTTCCAGCGATAATTATCGGTTGGCGTGCAAATATGCGGAAAGAATTCCCCGTGGCTTGTTATTGTCTTTTGTCTTATGTTTTGACTGCTGCTCTTTGATTTTTTGTTTTGAGCTTTAAATGGAACTAATTAAATTTAGCGCAACGCGCATTAAATTTCCTTGTCCGGGCAGCAGTGTTGCCTGCTACGTTTGTTTGCCGTCAAATCTGGCTCTTGCTTTGCGTGCACCGAGAATTATAGCTATTTTACTTGCCAGTTCGAATCTTCAACTTGTTGCGAATTGTAGCGCGTCAAGCGACACAAAGTAGCAAAGCAAAGGAAAACTAAAATGGCATAAATTAAGAGTATAAGAAATTTAATTGGTGGAAGAGCTATGCAAAAGAAAATTGTACACAGCTTGTTATGATCAAATCATGCAAACGTGTTTATGAGAATCACGTAGTACGGCAATAAAAGATATAATATATATAAAAGAACTTTTCTCATATAAATTTGAATAATTTTGGTACTCCTGCTCATCCTGTAGCCCATCACATACTAAGAAAGCATGAAAACCTGTGGGACTCATTTAAATTCTTGAGAATCGCATAGAAGATCTACATTTAAATACACGTTTCTTTTAAACTATCCTATATACCACTTAATCTGGCAACATAATTCTTAGTCAAAATTCTTGTAAAAATGGTTCTATCAAATCTCCTATATAAACATAGGACTTGGGTAATTTAGGAAATTTCTTACGCTCATAACTCGATCAAATATGAAATAAAAAATTAATGAATACGTGTTGCAGTGATTTTGGCGAATGGCAAATTGGCTTACCGTCCGATCGAAGTCATTTGTAAAGATCATTGCAAGAATTTTTTTTATATGTACTAAGGGCAAGGTCGGGTTATACCCGGTTCTATATAATAAAAGTGCATGTATTATGTATATAAAAATTCATACATACCCAAGTAACGTTTAGTAGATGCCAACATATGTGCTTATTAAACACTTACAAGCAGAACTGCTTCAGTTTCTTGGAGCCGGCAACTCTACCATGATAATGAATTCCTTGGCCAGTTCAAACTCCTGTTTCTGCTGCTCGGGCTTCGCCAACTTCGGCTTATCCAACTGCTGATGTTCCTCCTGCAGCACTTCATTGACTTAAATAGCATGAAAATCTGGGGGCCCTACTTAAATTCATGATACTCGTATAGTTTAGCAAATTTCATCTTACATACATACATACATACATACATACAACCATACATACATACATACATACACACACACACACACACACACACATATATACATACATACATACATACATACATACATACATACATACATACATACATACATATACACACATACATACATATACACACATACATACATACACACATACATACATACATACATACATAAATCTACAAATGTACATACATACATACATCTACATACATACATCTACATACATACATCTACATACATACATCTACATACATACATCTACATACATATCTACTTACCCGCCCAACTCCTGCGCCGCCGCCTCCTCCTCCACAGTTGCTCCTCCACAGGCAGTTGGAGCCAAAGTGTACTGCCCTGCTGAATTTCAACAGAGCCTACTTGAATTTTTGAGAATCGAGGAGGAGAGCACTTGATAAAAATTCGTTTTATTTAAATTTGCAGCACAGAAAAATTAGCTTTCTTTGCGTTTGATATTAGAAAACTAACATGCACGCATGCATACATGCATACATACATACATATGTGTGGGTTGTGCCTCGATCAGTCTGTATAGAGTTTTAAATATAGTTTAATTGAATATTTAAAATAGCGCAGCCTTTTTTCGCTTCTTTTCAATTTAGTTTCTTTTGCTGTTCGAAATAGCCGTTTTTCTTCTTCTTTAAAGCTGGCAACACTACGTGACACACACACAAAGACACAGACACGCACACAGAAATCAGCATAATTGGAGCTTGCAAATCATTGGGGTTCCGCCCATTCACACTCTAGCATCCAGCTATACAATTTGGGGCAAAGTCTTCCCTGTTGCCACTCCCTTTGCTCCTGTCTCTGTCTCGGCCTTTGCCTCTGCCTCTGCCCCTGCCCCTGCCCCTGACTCTGTTCGTGCCTTATGCCACACTGATTTAGTGTCATATAAAACCAGTAAGTGAAGATTATGTTACCAGAATTAATTGCAGCCAAGGTGAAGGTAACAACAGGCCCCACATCAGACGGAGGAAATGTCAGTTCCCTTTCCCCTGCTCCACTGCCGAGCACGTGCTAAAGTTGAAGTTGTCTGCTCTTGCCTGGAACACACACTCCTCTGGTTATTTTTTTTTTTTTTTGATAATTTAATTGATAAAATGACAGGTTGAAGCCTTAAAAATTGCCGGCAATCGAACGTATATTGATTTTATGTGCACATTAGCGAGTCTCTGTCCCTGCTTTGTACTTTATTTAAGTGGCGTTTGGCTTGGCACGCCCTCGACTTCTCTGCCAAGAGTTGACTGCAGGTGTTGGCTACACAGATTTGGTGTCATCTTTTGCCAAACTGGGGGTTGATTCAGTTTATGAATATAAGTGCCTTGTGCCTTATTAAGGAAACGAAGTGGCGCTGCAGGAAATATTGATTTACCCATCAGGAAGTGCCTAACAAAATAATATGAATTCAATAAGGGAGCCGAAGTTGGGCTCAACAAAGCTGTTAACGATTGTAGTCGGCTGTATTGGGAATTGGTCTATTGGGAGTTTGAAATGATTCAACTTTTTCTATTAATCGATATAGAGAAAATTCTCTTCAGATCTCATAGTCTTTAAATTGGTCATATTGAAAAGGACAAATAGTAGATGGATTATTGGTAGACAATTTAGACAAATGCTTTTATCTTAGAGACCATAAGAGTCGGAGTCAATTTAATATGGGGGCTCATCTAAGCCGAACACAGCTCAAGTATGTTCAACGATTCGTCACAAAATCATAAATCAATAAAAACAAATCATCTATTGACGTGCAACTTCATATATATACCCAAATATACCACAAACATGTTTTAAGTCGAGCGTAATAAATTCTTTGGCAATTTATTTGCACAATTGAACTCTATTTAAATATGCATTTGCCATCTTAGAAATGTGCTCAGTCTTTGATAAATGCATTTCGTATGCAGCTTTAGAGCAAACAGCAAACGAGTACTCATACTCAAACTCATATTCGGAATTGTATTCGTATCTGTGAGGCAGCTGCAACTAAAATCAAATGCAGCAAATATTTGCGTTTCGGTTCAATATTGAACTCTGACCAAAGCAAACAACTCGTGGACGAATATGCCTGAAAAAAACGAATATGTTAAAGCTTAAATGTTAAATTAAATAAAAAGCAGTTGGGGTGAAAAAAAAGTTACCATTAAATGCTATGTCAAGTGAAAAACTGAACAAGTAAAAGTGCGCTAGACGAGCGAGCCTCGAGTAGGACATGCCCTATATCTAGGCAAAACTTTATAAACAAGAAAAAACTCATTCTGAAATAACTTTTGTACTTTTTGTGAGATTATTGTTAACTTTTTGGGTCATAAATATGCCATTTTAATAAACCTATACACCAAGAATTACACTATATACTATAATATTTGGTACAGATATTCGAATTATGAAATATATATATATATATATAGATATATATACACTGATCAAGTCACAACCCAAGCAACACATTGATAGATATATATATCTTAACATAATTGAATATGCCCCTTAGCGCTATTTATAGGGTATACAAATACAACTAGCAACATAGAAAACATAATATTGCCAAGCACCTGGCAGCAGCAGTCAATTTGCTTGAACAACTGAGTGTAGATTAACGCTTCAGGGATCTGGAGCACTCCCCTTGGCACTCGCTGCCACCCAATTGTGAATCCTTCATAATTATATACATGCAATTAGATGCAGCAACCCTTGCAGGACGCCGTGCAGCCCCCCAAGTAAATGGCCAGTGGCCCAGGAGCTCTCGTTGAACGTGTCGTAAAAAACAATTACCAAGCACCACAAGCTGGTAGCATACAATTCCTGTTGCAAATACCCCTGGCCTCGTTTATGCCACCCACCATCTCTGCCACCTGCCTCCTGCCTCCTGCCATACATTATGTAATCCCTTTCGAGCAACCAAGCAAAGTTGTAAGCGCAAATTGTTTAGATTCCTTTTTGCAACATGCATTTTGTATGCCTCCATCTGTCGCTCTGTCTCTCTGTCCGTATTTCTGTCGAGTTTCGTTGTCTCACTTGCCGCTGTTTTCTTGGGTTTTTTATTTTTTTGATAATTTTCCTGTTGGATTTGTGCTTTTCTGAGTGCGATGCCAAGTAGGAAGACAGACGAGGCAGCGCAAAGCGGATTTCGTGGCATATTTTATGAGCACAGATGTGCGTTCTGCAACAAGAACAACAGAAACCTAGACAGAGCTGACCCAATGGGTTGGTATTTTATGAGAACAAGAAATGCGATTTATGTACACAGTGTCGAATACTAAAGACCCTTGCAAAAATGTAAAGATGAAGGAGAAAATCAACAAGATTCCCTGAATCCAAAAAATGGTTCGAACCAGCGCTTTTTCCAAAAGTTCAATTCGATTTCAATATACGAGCTAGAAAATTGAAATTTGTAGTGTAGGTCTTCCAAGTGATCGCGCAGCACGAGCTTATTTTCGATAGTCGTTAACATGGCCAGATTTCCCAGTAATCGATAAATATCGATATCGAAAACCTGTTTTTTAAGCAAATCTCGTAAGTTTTAAGAGCTACAGTTACCAAATTTGACATGTAGCTTCTGAAATAAGTTACACAGATCAAATATCTTTCATTTTGTAGCTAACGAGGTAAAAGCTATTGCTTAGAGAAGATTTAAGGTATCCCCTAGCCGGGCATTTCTGACTAGAACACAAAATATAGTATATATATAACTCTTTTTTCTTTATTTCAAACCAATTGAAAAACTTTCTAAAATTGTTAAGTTCTGTAAAGAGTTTTCTTATTAGCTCTATCTGTAGTTTTTCTTTTCCTGAATACCCTGGCATTATTGCCATATTTTTATTGCTACTCCGAACCACTTGAACTTTTACTTGTGACCTTCGATGGCTTTCGCTGTCAGGTTTTTTTTTGTTGTTGCATGAAATGTAAATGCTTGTGAGAGACCTTTGAAGTGGCATCTAATCATCCTGCCCGGCAGTCACCCCGCTCCTGTCATAACATGCTGTCATACTCGTTGGAAAAAAACAAAAGCGAAGGCGGATAAAAGAAACAAGCGCGTGCCTCGCTGCGGCTAGAGCTGCAAAAGATGATGAGAAACTTGAGCGTCAAGCAGGCAGAAGCTTTAAGCCGCTAAATTGTATCGGATTACAGCAAATTCCAAGCTAAAATTCCTTACCCATGGGCGGGCGTAGCTCCAGCCCCGCCCGCACTCTGTTTTCCCTGCAGTCGCTATGTTAATGAAGGTGCAGTTTGTGGTGGGTGAGTGGTCGGGGACGGGCGTAGTTGGTGGAAAGCCAAGTGCTGGGGAGCTCGAACGTCAGAACGTTGTTTTTTTTTTTTTTTGTTGTCGTCCTGCTGTTGCTGCTCGACTAAAAATGGCTGCGGGGCATAGAATGCATTGAAACGGAGAGAGAGAGAGAGAGACGGCCGGGCGGACAGCCGACCGGAGAGAGAGAGACGCCCGGATGACACACAAGTGCTGAACCCGTGAACTCGGTCGGTCGGCCCAACCAGAAACAGGGCTCGAGTTCGAGTTCGAGGCATAGCACGGTGAGCGCGAATCTTAACACAGTTACAGTTAACAACTCGAAACGAACCTTTTTAAAAACCAGCTCGCAAACGAGCAGAGACAATCAATCGCAATGGTTAAAGTCCCTCCCGTTGCCCCTCAGCCTCTACATCCCTCTTTTTGCCTAACGTTAAAACAAAAATGTGAGTTGAACGCGCACAAAAATTGCACACAATTTGCCTAATTCGCGCCGCGCTGCCCCCTCTCCGCTGCCACGAAAGAAAACAGGATGAGCCGCGGTGCTGAAATTGCTGCGGTTTTTATACCCTATACCTAATAATTGGGTAAAGGGGTAGCGCACATTAGAAGATGTGTTGCCTTTGCATAGAAAATTCTAAAAAAAAGTAACTCTCAAATTGAACGAGATTGTCATGCTCGACGGCATTTTTGTCGTGACTTGTTCTCTAGCTTAATTTTCTATTTAACATTTATGGAATTATATAAATGGCATATTTTTAAATTATATTAAATTATGTGCAAAATATCACGTAGTCCTTAATCGATTGTTGATGTGAAAGTTATCAAAAAATAATAATTTGAATTTTTTCGGTCGTTAAAGTTGGGTAAGTTAAGGGAATGCCCCTGCTAAACTTGAAACTTTCATAACTTTGCCAAAACTTAAACGATTTTTCAGATTGAGTGTGTTTTGGTCTTGGCTTAGCCTCTAGATCGATTCTGTATTAACAAACAATGAATACCAGCAAATATAATTTGTATATATATAGTTTTAGTAATTTTATTGTGTGGTTCTCCACCTTCTCATTTGTCTAAAGTCTTGAACCTGTATTTT